AGTGTGCTAGATACAATCAATCTCACATCTCAGTACTGTTGTGAAACGAGAAGAACAGTGTCGTAACAAAGGTCCTCGCAACTCCCTAGCGACACTGTAGCCTTCTAACAGAGTTGAGTTTGATCAATCTTGTCTCTGCAAGGTAAATTTCAAAATACTTGTGACCCTATTTTGATAACAAATCAAGAACGGGTTTTGCTACAACCAGTTTTTGACTCGTTCTCGATCTGAGAACCTTTCTTTGTTGGTCACTCAAAATTTAGGAAAACTCCTTAAAGGTGTAAAATGGTCATTTTCCAATTTCAATGACACTAACTCTGTTTGGCTTGCATTGTGAGAGATAGAACCTTTCCTTCCATGCAAATTACGCTCAAGGAGCAATCTTTGTTCGATTACGAGTTATAAAGAAGAATAAATCATACACTCAACCGTAGAATTGGAAAGTATACAGAGGACAAGACTACAACAAAAAACTGACCAAAGGTTGGGAATACTTTTGTCTATACACAAATTCGTACATAAACTACCTACGATAAGGAGGATCGAACCTCAAAAGTTACAAGGGTCTCGCTTTGTTCTCTACACAAACAACTTCTAGAGAGTTTTGACTGGCATAAGAGTAAAAGTGGTGATGCTCTTACTTCTCCTTGCACATATATTTCAAGATTCACCTTCCTTTATTACTTTGCCAAGAGGAGATGAAAGATTCTTATTTTTCCATTATTTCTACGCTTATATTCTTTTCTTTTCACTAGGAGACGAAATTGATCCAATATATTTAAAAGAACAAGACCTTTACCAGTTTAGATAACAACCAAAATATCATTTAAGATTTGACCCTGCAAAGGAATCAGATAAATTCTTTTATCTTATTCTGCTGAATATTGCTTGCGAGTTGACGACATTTTTATTCTTTGTAGAGCAACTTGGATAAAAAAGCGTTTCGCTGCTTTTTCAAGTTTGAATTGTCCCTAGTAGAAATGAACATTCCTTCTATTGATAGACCCGTTTTTTATACGAAACGTTCGGTTGTCATTGATTCTCGTTACCAATATCCAAAAGGAAGCCTCTGCTAGTGTACCCATCAAGTTATACTTCGCAAGAGTCTTCTTCCAAGTGCCTAACGCAAGGAACTTTTGTATAGTGACTCACTTATTCAACGAGCTGATGGTTGAGAGTGGAAGAAGAATAGTAGGACTCAACTGGACAAATCGTTCTTTGAATATGCAGAGCTTTTAAAAGTTTTACTTTTTTTTATATTGAAAGAGATAATAGCCCTCTTGGAGTTATATCTTTCCTAAAGCAGCTTTGTATTCTTTATAGTTTGCTTTCTTGTATATCTTTAAAAGTTGTGGTTTTTACAAAGTTTACCGTACAAGAGGATGCAGCAAAAGCCTTTAAACATAAACAGTCATGTTTACCTTCAAAAGCACCTCAACTGTATAGTCGACTATTGAGGAGAAGGAATTCAACTATGATTCAAACGTGAAAAACGAGAAGAGAATCGATAGAATAGACTCAATTCGACTGAATTGAATTTTTCTTGAAAAATATCTTTTCTCCTCTTAACAGAATCCACAATATCAAATGCCACTATTTTCAGAGGAGAAAGAGACAGGAGTTATTGACTCTATTACAGAAATTGAGTATTGATGATACACTTGTGTGAGTCAATGTTGTTTCTGAGATTTGATAACACCACGCGATATTTTGGATCCTTCTTTGCACATTTGTTTTGCTTTTGTCTTTTGCTATCATCAACTTTTGTAGCTTTAGTGATAAGCTGCTACTTGTCATGATATCGTAAGAAAGGAATTTGATGATTGCTGAAAATAAAGCAGTGCTGTGCTTGTGGGTTTCTGCATTTCTACTAAATAATAACATTTCAACTGGAGCTTTTGAATAGACTGTACAAGAGAATGACTTGGTTCATACTCTAGTTCCGTGTTTCGAAATGAAGCAAAAGTGACGTAAAAACTATTCCATAAAATACAGAAAAATCTAGAGAGAGACGTCTATGGAACAAATTCTTCATGAACAATCTATATTGCTCGGAACTCTCATGACTACTCTCGAAAATTCTGAAAGAAACTTTCTTATCTATGTGAGAATGGGCCATGTTCAATAGCTTTATACTCTCAAAGAGCATAAAAAACTTGTGAAATAAACATTGGCTTCCTTCCAATACTTCTTGTACCCTATGAGAGTTACCATTATATTAGCATACGAGAATAAGAATATCGATAGTTGAAAAAGCCATATTGATCGTTCTTCCATAGTTCAAGTCATCTCAGTCCAAGCCATAAAGGGTATGACATAGTCATCAGTTGATAAAGAGAAGAAGTTGGATTGGTATCCTTTACTATTTTCCTTGTTGTTGTTGTGACCGACAAACAGTCAATCGTTCATTTATTTATATTTGTACTCCGAAATAAACTGAAGGTTGTTTAATTTCACTTTGGCGATGGCGAGTTTGGATGAAAAGTGGAAAGCTGTGGACAACTTTGAGTCTGTTGTGGTAGTAGATCGTGAAAGAGATGTTGTTCGAGTGACAAAAGAACTGTATGATCTTCATAGCAACAGAGAACAACTCAGGGGTGTAACAAGTAGTTGCGACTATCGTTTGACGATACCATTTGCCCCCCATCTCTTTGGCTCGGGCAAGACTACGTTTTGTCATAACTATTTGGAGTTGGTGCGAAGGTTTGGTGAAACTTTTCTGTCGAAATTTGCTTCGGACCCTTTGAGAAGAACCTTTTTGGAGAAGCTGAAAAGGGCTTCATTGCTTTATGTGGATTTAAGGAAGTTGAAGCCAACTCGACCCATCGAGGAAAAACGCAACCTTGAGTGGGCTTTGTATTTCCGAATGATAGAAGCGTGTTGCACTTCTGTTGGACAAGAACCAGAGGATGAAGAAGTAGTATTTAAAGAATGCCGTACACGTCCCTATAAGTTAGTTAGAAAACTTCGTTCAATCTTAAACATTCCTTCTGATCAATATCTTTTGGTAACTTTTGATGAAGTTGGTGTCCTAGACGAAAGTCTCGACGAATTTCATTTCAAGAGAACCCATGACGGTAGAGTTCGACCTTACAATGACTTTTTCGGTATCATTAGTCAATTGTGCGAAGAACCCGACTTGTTTTTTATAGTTGTTGGGAAAAGCAAGGGTTTAAGTATTAAGAATTATGTGGCTTTTGGGCCATCAAGAGTTATACTACATTTTATCCCTTTATCACCTTTGGACGCTTCCAGTATCGTTGAATTCCTTGAAAGGAGTCTTCTAAAGACACCTACTCAAGAACCAGTTTGTAATGTCTTATGTAGTTCTTCATTTTCAGTAAATGAATTGGCAGACTCATTATTGGAATGTACAGGTGGAGTTCCTGGTTTGTTGACTCGTGCAGTAAATATGCTTTTGAATTATATAATAGCAAGAAATCAGCCTTTCATATCGAAAGAAGAATGTTTGACGTGTATGAACGACTACGATTTCCGAATAATTTGCACTGAACCATTTGTGGAACAAATATTGAATTTGGACGAAGATAGAAAAAGTGTTTTTGATATACTTTTGATGATGGCACTTTATCGTATACCGTTTAAAGTAGATGACAGATTGACCTCGGAGTCCTTTTTATATGATGCAGTAACTGAAATGGGACTATATCGATATCCTATTGACCAGAATACTTTTCAAGTCCTAATTCCAAAAATATTTGTTGTAATCTTCAAGAACCAACCGTCCATATCCACTATGGAAAAGATACTTCTTGGATCACTCGATGTCGAACCAGTAGATTGTTTCTTCTATTCAAAGTGTCGTGTATTTGAAGGAATTGTTGCACTACGACTAGTTTTGATGTTGTCTTCAAAGAATCGAAATGAATTGAGGGAATTGTTGTGTCAATTGTCTCCAATATGGAAACAAATGAAACTTCCAATCAGTACAACATCACCTATTCACTATATCAAGTCTGTTGTTAGTTCTAGAGAAACAAGAAGTGAATCGAACAAGAGTCGAAGAACCTTTGCCAGTACTGAATGGAATAAGATTATTCGAGACACACTTTATTTAGAGACCATTTACATTCCTTTGGACGCTACTTCTCATAGTCCTGATATTATATTCAAATTACAATCTCCTGTGGAACCCAAAGTTCTTACTGTTGGAGTTGCATGTAAAGGACGCTGGAAGTCGGAAGGAATTGGCTGGTCAGATATTATAGATGAAGCCAAGAAATTTTTAGATCCTGTTTATGATCAAGTCTTATCCAGTGCAATGGATTATCATCATTGTATGCTTATTATTGTTAGTACAAAGTTATCATTGAATGTTTCTAATGAGTTGGGTAATCAGAGTCGTTGTTACTCCAGTGGAATGTTTATTGGAAATGATTCTTTCAAAGTACCTGATAATTGTGAACTTGTTATTCTTTGTGAAAGAGATGTCCAAATGCTGATTGACGAAGAAATATTGAATGGACTTGAAAGAGCATTTCATGTTTCTCATAATCCTACTTTTTTGAACTTTGGACTCCAACTGCTTCATAAAGTCCGTAACAGTTTCTTGAGTTGGCAATAGACTTTTAATCAATCCTTCACTTTGTGATTTCTTTTTAAGAGCAAGTAAACTTTTTTGTATGTTTGAAACTCGGTTACAACTTATTTGCTTTTACTCTGAGGAGTATTGTCTTAATATGGTACTAACCACGAAAATCAAAATAAGCCTATTGTTGTAAAAGTCACTGTCACAGTTTGACAGGTCATATTTGCTTCTTGTTACTTCTCAGGAGAGTGTCTTAAAGTGTTGAAGATTGGGTTTTATACAAGGTCTTGTATTCGTCAAAGACTTTATTTATAGTTCGCCTTAAGTTGAAAGTTCCTTAACTGGTCTATTTTCTAATAGCTCAGAGAAGTTGTTTTTATACACAATTGCACAGAAACCAATATCCACTCTTTATTACAAAAAAATGAAAAAGATAGTTTTTATCTAAAAGGCAAATCATGTTCTTATCAAGACTTGTTCAAAGCTTCAAAAGACTTTCGTCGTAATCAAGAGTTTGAGCATTGGACTGTTGGAAGAAGATTGATTGACCATTGTTGTATTTTACTGTCGCATAGTTTACTTCATAGCTTGCGATATGTCTAGTGAGCTTGAACCAGAAACCGTATATGACATGGTTGTAGTACACCGAGAAAATGATGTTCGTGTAGTAACACTGCAGTTATTTCAGCTATACACTCTCCGTAAACTTGATCGCCATTTCAAACCAGTCATACCCTTTGGTCCTCACCTCTTCGGAAGTGGAAAGACGAAATTCGTACAAAGTTACTTGGAACTGGTGAATAATATGGGTGAAAGTGCACTGATAGGTCTCGATTACGTTTATGAGTCTGAGAAGGCCAACCGAAGAGGTTTCCTGGAGAAATTAAAAAGGGCTTCGTTGCTCTTTGTGGACTTGAGGAGGTTGGAGCCCACAGTCCCCATAGAGTTTTTTCGAAACCTGAAGTGGGCAGTCTACTATTTGTTAATAAAGGCTGCCTGCTCTCAAGTTGGCGCGGAAATTTTGCGAAAAAAAGAAGCCTTCGAAATGGTGGATATGGAACCCTCCAACCTAGTTCCACTCTTACGAGATATACTAAGGATTCCTTCTGATCAATATCTTCTTCTAGCTTTTGACGAAGTTGGTGTGTTTGATACAAAGGCAACTTTTTTTGAACTGGAGAAGAATGACAAAGGTGTGGTTCGACCTTACAATGACTTTATCGGTATTATTCGTGAGTTGTGCGAAGAACCCGACTTGTTTTTTATTGTTGTTGGGAAAAGTGAAGGCTTAAATATATACAATTACGTAGCTTCAGTCTCAAGGGTTCAGTTAGTGTTTATTCCTCTTGCGCCGCTTGAGAAACATAGTATCGTGGAACATTTGGAGAAAAGTTCTTCCTTTTTATTCACTGGGAGCCCAAAGGTTTCAGAAATTCTTTGTCACGAAGACTTCTCAACTAGTGAACTTGCAGAATTGTTGTTGGAATTGACTGGTGGTGTTCCTCGTTTACTTGTTCGAGCAATCAGTTACCTTTTGCTGTATAAATCATCCAACAACAATTTCTTATTATCTAAGGAAACCTTCTTGATCATAATGAATAGCTTTCTAGTAACAAATTATTGTGTTGCGCCATTCTTACCTCGTCTGATAAGTCTGAGTGAGCAGCGTAAGCGCTTGTTAAGAATGCTTACGTTATTATCTTTGTATCGTATTCGATTTGATTTTGATGAAACTGTGCAAATAAGCTCAAATTCTGATGTGTTTTTGTATGATCTAGTTACAGATATGTATCTCTATCGTCGATTGGTTATAGAACCAGACCGCATCGAACGCTATGAAGTGTTGATTCCCAAGTTACTTATTGAATATATTGACCAAGGCTTAAAGGATGATCGTTTAGAATGGTTACTTTTACAAACCCTCAAGTCTCAATCTGTCGAATTCTTTTATGAGTCGAAATGTCGAATTTTGGAAGGTCTTATTGCTACACTGTTTTATTTACACTTTTCTCGGCATCCTACAAACAGCTCAATGTTTTCTACTCTTGGTCAATTGTCTCGTGTTTGGAATGAAATGAATTTACAATTTTCTTCCGAATCTGCTGCTTATTATATGAAATCTATACATTATACCAGAGCTGTATTAGGAACAGAGAGAATGACATTTGGAAGCAATGATGAATGGTAAAGGATAGTGGAAGAAATGTTAGAACTTGAAAAGATATATATTCCATTTCATTCAACATCCCATAGTCCAGATATATTATTCAAGTTGCATGGAAGAACGAATGAGAAGAACTTGATGATGGTGGGTATTGCTTGTAAAGGCCGATGGAGTCGTAATGGTATTCGATGGAATGAAATTTTGGAAGAAGCTCACAAGTTTTTAAAACCAGTGCATGATCAAGTATTGACTAGTCATCCTACATGGCATTGTATGTTGATTACTATGAGTACTCAGTTAGCAACCAACGTATCTGAGGACTTGAATCATTCTAGTCGTTGTTATTCATCTGGCGATAGTGTTGGAGAATTCTTGATTCCTCACAACTGTGAATTGGTTATTCTTTCTGAAGCCGATGTAGAAAACTTTATTGGCAAAGACATTTTATCGAATTTAAGGAACGCTTTCAAGTCTGTGGATAATCCACATTCGAGAAATATTGGCATTTCAACCCTACAAGAAATAGTTTTATCTCTTTCCAAAAATATTTAAGAATAAATCGTTATTGTTCTTTAATGAATATCAATTGAGTCTTTGAGAAGTTTTCTAAAACAATTCATTTTCAAAAGTTTTCATCAATCGGGCTGTTTTATAAGACACTGTGAAAAACTATATCAAACTTTTGAAAAACTTATTCTTCTAACCACAATTTTGTGATTTGGATCACATACTCCATTGTTACAAGCCATAGAATGAGCACGAGTCAATCTAACTTCCCATAAAAACTCCTTGAAACCTACCTTTTGACTATAGTAAAAGAAAGTTTCTAGTTATGATGAGTAAGAAAATATTCCGGCTTTCTCTCTAATGTTAATGTGAGTCTAGAACTGTCAAAGAGATCAGTTCTACAGTTTATCAAATAAGGCAAACGCTCAAACAATAAAACGTACATTCCTTTCACAGTTTCCTTGAAAGTTTTTCGGTCATTGTTTTCATCAACCTTTTCTCGTGAATTCATTTTGGTATAAAATGACTTGTAAAGAGATACGCATGGCGAACTTACCAAAAGGGACATAGAGTTTCATAAATATCAAATTCTGTATGGATAAAAGTGGATTGGATCTTCCTATTCCTTGTGCATGAGTATTTCATCGGTACAAGAAGCAATTCTCTTTGTTCAAATTGGTAGCTGGTAACCGTGGACTGTAGAAAAGAATGCTAAAGCTCAACTACAAGATGCCTTACATGTCTTCATAGTTACTCTGGATCGACGTTTTTTCTTCCTAAAGACTGGAAAGTATTCGCATTATTCATGGTAATGCTTCTTTATTGGAGTTTCTAGCTACTTTGATATTTTTATCTATCCTCTTTATAGAGAACAACAACATTGCTCGGGTCATCACTTATTATTTTTAATATTTATGGAAAATTTTCACCCTCACAAAAAGTTTATCAGACAGACTACAACAGTTGAATCGATGGTGTCTGAGGATTCATGTTAAAGTTGAATATTCTTGAATTTTAAACTTGAGCTACTTCCGGAATGAGATTTGGATGGAATTCGTTTCCGTTACAAAATGTGCAAAATGCATTCGTTTTTGGGTAAATTTGTATCCATCACTTTGATGTTTAGTATTTTTATTTTTGATTGATATGAATCTCAATAGCAATAGTTGACTCTTTTTTCTTGTTTCAATGTCCTTTTTCAATTCATGGATTGGAGTCACACAAATATGGAAATTGACTTGCAAGATAATCTACATATTCCAAAGCAAGATAGAAAACTGTTCTAAGGGTATTCTAGGTAACATTTCCGAAGACCATTCTGAGATAGCATGACAAGTTGGAAGTTGAATTTTTTTACGTCGATAGTCTATGAATAGTGTGTTTGTAGGCATATCGAACTGCCTTATAATACCACAATTCTATATCTAATGTTAACGAAAAAGGATAATTTCGCTCCATACACAGAAAGACAAACTACTGAATAATAGGCTCAATCAATATTTTGAGTGGCTATATGTTGCCTATTTAATGCTCGAGATTAAAGGCCCTCTTAACTACAAGTTTCTTCTACTTAGCTGTTTTGCTCCACCGCAAGGCTCTATTGCGACCTCGTTGTATCAATTCAGTCTTCCGTCTTACATTGTGTATAGATACGGGACACATATCTCTCGATCTATATTTCAAAGTCAGCGAAACCTGCATTAGGCATCACTGCTTGTTTGTTCATCAAACAATGGCAAAATTAGAAGATCACTTTTCACCGTCGAGAAGGAATATTCCAATAATGTGATACAGTTGAACAAGATATACTAGAGTCGGTCGACATACTCTTTGTGGAAGCCGAGTATTTGCGTATTTTGCCGTTCAGCAGCTCTGGTACGTAATTGGAGATATAGAAAGAAGATATGAGTCATCATCGTTTTCATAGCTAGTTTCCAGAATGTCTTAAATGAAAACGACGATGGACGTCCCAATGCAAGATACTCATGCAACCAAGAAGAAACGATTCCTTGAAACAACCATAAGTCAAACTGTCCGTTTTTTTGTAAAACACTGCCAACGTTCGAAAAGCCGTTCCTCAAAAATTGTTTTTCCTTCCAAGACAAGCACTTGCAAAAAGTTTGAACCCAAAGGAATCGTTTCTGGGCTATATTACGTTTGATGAAGAACCACAAACTCGTTCACTGGAAAGGTTCTTGGAAAGCACTTGGATAAAAAGACCTCTTATTACTCTTTTGCTAAATAACACAAAGTTGCTAAAGTTGATACCTAGTGGTGGTGGCAAACCCATAGCCCTCCCTCTGATATTACTCAATAAGTGGTTTCCAGTGTTCAAAGTCCCGTTCCTAGATTATAGAGTGAAACCAAGTTGCTCGAGTCTGAAGACTTTGAAAGTTTTAACGAAGAAATGATAAGGTTGTTTATGCCATCGTGTTACGTTGCGTCGACTAGTAAAGAGAGCTGTTAGTGAAGCGCGGACGATTGGAAACAGTTTCAAGTGAATAACTTTATTGCGAAAGTGGAAACGCTGTTAACTATGCATGATGACAAGTTTTCATATGTTTCGGTCTCTCTTGACTTTGATTGGAGGTTTTTCAAAGTTTGCCAAGATCCAGTGGACTAGTCTTCCAAGTTACTTTCTATTTTGTTTGTTTCTATTGTTTGATTGGAATGGGAGTCCACTTTTTGTTTTGGATAACTGTACAAGAAAACCGGTATTGGTTGCTACGACGAATGAAATGACCATATCATAGAAAAAGTTTTTCTCATGAGTTGTTTTCCATTTTCATCAAGTAACGACAGTCATGAATACATTTATTATTTTTGTTGTTTTTCTTTCAAAGCAATCCACCACAGCAACCCCGAGAAAAAGAGACTTCCTTTTCCTACACAAACAAACATCCATTCATTCCAACAAAGAGGTCTTGATGACGATTCATATTTTTCTGCTACAAGAAAAGGGAAGACCATGATTGGGAACTGCCTGGATAATACTATAAATTCCAGCATAACTACCCAATCCTAATAAGGAGTAGCCTATGACGACACAACTCAACGCAAGTATCCAATTCCACCATTTTGTTTTTTTTCCAAACTCCATCAAATACATAATAGCTGGCATTCCAAAGGTTGTGCTGGAAGATACCAATGCCGCTATCAAACCAATCAATTCATTAAAAAAGGGAATCAAAGAGGCCACAATAAAAGCCAACCCATATACAGAAGCCGACCATATTAAATAGGATAGCCTTTGTGTCCACGAACGATCATCAAAAGTTCTTCGACTCCAACATTGAAACCATCTTTGAAATGCTCTCGATAAAACGGTACCTCCCATAATACCTGGACTAATGACATGAATGATCAACAAGGCATTGGCAGCATCTCGAATAGCGGAATGATTCAAACTTAAGGTTACCGGACTTTGTAAGACACTCGAATTACCCAAATAAGAATATGCGAAAGATGCTGTAAACATACACAATACATATCCAACCAATTGTGAAGTTAAAAGTGCTTTGGGAAAGTCTTTGACATCTTTCATTTCTGACATAATCTCATAAAATATCAAATGACCTGCAAAGGAAAACACAATATCCGTCATTCCAACAGTTCCTGCCACAAATCCTGAACCTCCAAGAGTGGTATAAGCATTTGCTCCAATGGAGAGTTTGGGAACTTGACTCAATGTCAATATAATGGGAAGCACAATACATATCATGCTAATGACAGCAATCCAAGATACATCATGAAGACTTCTTACTTGACCAATAATGAAAAACATGAAAAAAGATAGAATGAACCAAACCTCCACACAAACATGATGACCAGCAAATATACTATCCCAGGACAAAGACATGGTTAAAAGATCCGCAGTGAGAATGCCAAAAAAGTATGTGTAGGTAAGAGCACCACCGATATATTGACCTGGTTTGCCAAAGAACTTGTAGAACATGGTTGCATAGTTTCTTATATGTGGATATTTCATATGGAGAAACCACATATAATATCCTGTCGTTGTCGTGATGAACACTACAAGTATAAGAATCAGAGTTCCTGCTATCCATCCCATGGAAACAAATGCTGAAGGCAAAGATAATACTCCCACACCAATAAGATAAACCATCATCAGGAAGGAAGTCATAAACCAGTGCGTTCTTCTCGGAGGTTCATATGCGTCTTCCAAACTGGAACCTGCAGTTGCTACTTCTTCATCTTCTACTTCCTTGGCGGGCTTTATGGCCTCTTCTATTTCTTCTTCTGTATCATCTACTCCAGAAGCACTAATGAAGTCAAACGATTTTGGTCGCCAGTTATGCGATTGGTCTCCACCAATCTTTTTGGGGGACTTGCCTTCATCAGAAGGAAATTCCGACGAGTCAACACTAGTATGATGTATATGTGTAGGGACTCTTCTGGGAGACTTGACAATATGATCATCTTCTTTCATGGCTCTAGTTCGTGGAATAAGAATGGCAATGGCGAATGTATTGGGAAATTCGTTCCCAAGATAAATCTAAATTTCAAGTAGAAATGTTGGATGCTCTTTCGGGGAGATAGCGATCTGCCGTTTCTCTAGAAAGGTGGAGAACAACTGTTGCCGTCCCACCCTACAAGATTACTACGTTCGAATGGAATTTTACATTGAAGTTCTCTACAAGATCTCTTTACAAGAGAAGGAGAATATAAGAGGTTAATTGGAAGCATTTTCCTAGTGGCGACAAAGGACAGAGAGGATGTGGTCGAAAAGTAACTGCTTGAAAGTCGTTTCTTTACCAACATATGTCTTTTCTACCTTTTGTGGCACATTTTTTTGCAATCTCAAGCATTTTTCTTGATAGTGAAGGATATCTTTTGGAACTTTCTTGGAACAATAAGAGACTCTACCTTTTTTGAGAAGCACATTGTTCCTCAACGGTTTCCAACGGTCTATTAGGAAGGAGAAGTGGAAATCATTTCGTCTTTGGTTTCCTTAAACACTTTTCGAAGGACCCGTTTCAATGCACAACTTATTACAGCAGTGGCCGTGACTTGACTCCTGTTATCCAAAAAATCATGAAGAAAGCATCCGACGCTATTCTCAACTCGCCCATGTAATAGTGGCACGAATATCTTCCCTTTTTTCTACAGTTTGATTGGTTTATATTGTCATTTGCTGAACGCTGTGTTTGTCCATCCCGTGCATACAAGCTTGTGGAGATACAGGATTGGTCCTGTTGTTCGCATGTCTCTTCTATCTCGAGGCTATCTATCATTCTTTCCAGAGATTTCACGAAGGAAGATTATTATTATTCACAATAGGATAGAGAAAAAGAACCTTTGAGCGCGGGAGAAATTCAGAAGACCTCCTCTCACTTACTTCACGACAAAAAGTGCCTAGGACACTAGTTCTTCCTTCTTTATTCTATGGAAAGATATATTTACCACGTATCTCTTGCTTAACCACGTAAAGATATCTCAGCTGTTGAACTTGTCATAGGGACAGGACAAAGAGTTTCTATCCTTTCTTGCTGTTTTTGTCACCGTTTCTCACTTAATTCAATATGGTTGTGCTGTGGTTCCTTGCTCCTTACGTCCTAGAGGACAAATTGAAAGATATTGCTTTTTCGATATTCAGCATTGGACGTATCCTTTTCAAAACAACAACAATATTTCACATTCCCTCACCAGAATAGTGTTGGTAAGTTCTTCCTTGAAGGAGACTTGTACTGTAGCCAGTAAGGAATATGCTTGGGGCACTCCCTGGAGAAGAATAGATGAACTGTACATGGAAGCGCCTACTCTGCAAGGTTTTGCTTATGTCCAACTACGCGACTCTTAAGGTGGCTCAACTTGTCTCAAAAACACTATTGTATTCTTGTAATCAGAAAGTTGCTTCATTTAAGTTTCAACTTTGCGTTCCATCCCCCTTGCGAGCATTGGCACGAAGCATAGAAGAGACCGAAACAAGCAGAAAGTTTAAGGTGTTTGCCGTTTGTACTTTAATTATTGCTGAATAAAACTCTGAAGGAAGTTTACTCCAGTTTGAGAAGTTACAAAGCCATATCAGTATGCCTTCCCTGTTGCACAAGTTTCGCTGTTCAAAAGAAAAACAACGTCTCTTCTCCTAGTAGTTATGTGACAACTCTTTGGATCCACAAGAACATATGCTCTATCGCACAAAGGAGAAAAATGAGAAATTTGAATAGCTTCTGCTTGTGTCTGACAGGTATGGCTTCTTCTGCATGAGGAGCTCAGTAATTCTTATTTCCATATGCCATTTCTCATATTTTATCATCGATAAACAAAAGTGACAAATCTGAATTATTTGAATATTTCAGAATAATTTTTCAAATTCGAGACAGTTTCCGTCTTGGAACCCAGAGTCACAAGTGTTGATATTTCTTCATGACAACCCAAGACACAGCTTCCTCGACAGCAGCATTGAAAGCTTTCAGGACGTCTCGTATTCGTTGTTGGAAACTATGGGAAGGTTGCAATCGAAAAGTGAACTCGTTGGAGACTTTTTCCACGAACCTTCTCGAGATAGAAGAAGAAACTCTCGAGTTCCTCAGTGATTTGGTTACATTGACACACTTGCTTCAAAATCTGCAAAGAAAAAATGAAGATTTGAATAGGAAAGTTTCCGATTCCTTAGAAGAGTTGGCGTACTTAAGAATTCAGAGGGACCAATTAGAAGCCAGAATAAATGAGTTGGTTCTCCTGAGCAACAGTTTGTTTCCAGAGTCATTGAAAATTCAGCCGCCGTGGAGGATGCTTTGTTCTTCCCAAGTAGAGGAAGTCTATGGACCCCGAATAGCCGGCTTGGTTAATAGAACTCTGCAGACCGAAAAGCAGGCCTGGGAGTTGGAAACTGTGATGAAGCGTTTTAAAAGTTACTGTTTGGGCAAACAATTGCAAATGTCTGAGGTTTGTTGGTTTATTTTGTTTCAGAAACGTCAATGCAAGTTGCACATCCTGGCAAACACTTTGCGCTTTGTTAGCGAAACTCCAGTTTCAGAAATGGCTCACCGCCTTGAAAATATACATTTTAGACTTCGGTTCAAGAAGCAAAGTATAGCATCTTGCCAAACTGGTCCTGTGAAAACGAACGAGTACGCTATGCACGCTGTTTTGACGTTTTCTGTGAAACGGAATATAAGAACTTGGAATGTATTTATTGAAGAGGACCTTTTTAGTGAACTTTGGCTGGAACGCCTACGTTGTGCATATGGAAGTCTTACAGGTTCGAACGACCACCCATTGGTTCGGATAGAGATTGAACCAAAGTTACCTCAGCAAAATATCAGAAACTTGCACAATCTTTTGTTTAAAATACCAGAGAAAGAGATTCATGAACGAAATTTGCTGATTCTTTCAGAATTATCCACTGTTTTCGAAGTGTCAGAGACAACGTCGGATTCCACATCGGATACTTTGTTGTGATATTGAGGAGATGTTGAGCCTGAATTGAATACATCACCTTAAGTTTATACAACTCATGACCCACAATTGCGTCAACACACCAGTTGTCTTACAAAGGTTCTAGTTATGGAACAAAATCGAGACGTTCGATCTCATTAAAGAGGCTATCTATAATGGCACTGTACTCCAGTTACTGGTGAAATATTATAGAGAAATCGTACCTCTCGCGACGAGACGCAAGTTTTGTATCTTAGGGGACTGCCCGAGAATATCTTACAATTGCGTCATTATTGACGTGATCTTTGTGGCACGAGCACTAACAGTTTCCTAGTTCTAGGCATTTGGCAATGCTTTATCCAGTTTGTTTCTAGCTCGGAAAATTAGACTCAAAGTTTCTTCTTGTAGAAAATGTTAGCTTATGATATGATCCAATATTTGAAGACTCTGCTGCATCAGCACAGAAAGACTTTATGTTGTTAGATGCTAGTTAGCTATGACTGAAGCAAAAGGATTTGGAAATACAAAGTTCTTTTATAAATTTTACCAACATTACTATTCTATCGCAGATTGAAAGAATTGCATCGTAAACCCATTCTTTTTTTCTCAAGCATGATAGCCATTTCGAACTGATTTGTCTTCCTTGCTCCACGAGAAGAGTACGCTTCTATTATTCAGTGTACTTCGAACAAAGTGTAGAAGCTGTCAATCTGACCATTGCTCTGTCTTTCACAAACATGTGAAACCGATTGGATGACGATGATATCTTCGATCAGATTTAAAAACGGACTACTGGAAGTTTGGTAGTCACACTTTCGTTAGGATGACCATCAGTAGAATCCTTGTCTGTTACAAGAAAAACCTCTGTTACGTTCTTACATGAATAGAATCCTGCTGTTATACTGCAATTATGCCATAATTTTGTCGACAAAATCTTTTTCATGATTGGGGCGACTTTTTGAGTCGCTCACGATACCTGGGACGGACTGCGAAAGTGAATATTATCGACCAAATGATGTCAAAAGAGAAATAATTTCAGATTTGTAAATGTACATTAGTCAGTATACTCATGACAAATTGGATTTCTTTGGTAAAATAGAGCAACAATATATCTTGTGTGCAGGGTTGGAGAAGAATGTCTTATAGCTGTTGCCATGAGGTGACCTCCACACTTTAGTCGTATCTCGCACTAGAACGTTCATAGAAACATCCATAGTTAAGCGGGACTCGTTATAAGATAGATAAATGAATGCACGTATTATGTGTGAAGTGCATAAGACGCATATGTTTTTGCTCGATAATTATGAATCAGAGATCGACATCAAAAGTGCAAAAACCAAAACAAGAGGAGTTGCTCTAAGAAAAGCGATAGCAAGCAAGCCCAAGCTGTTTCTAAATTCTATCCTGAAGATATAAACCATTAATATTTCCCTCTCATAGGAGACTCACTGAAGTATCTTCCCGGTCGTGCAAACCAAATTGTTGCTAGTATTGAAGAGCTTAACGATATGAAGAACCCAAAACTTGTCAAATTTGAGTTTCTTAAAGCGTCTACTTCAATATCGAGACCTGTCGATGTGTTCTTCATAGAATAAATATTAAATAAGCAACCAGTTCAGTGAGGTTCGATCAAAGCCAACATTTTTGAAACAAAACGTCACTTGAATAATTAGTGGCCATCGGAAATACTTTATCAAACCGAATAGTCATCAATTTGAGTTCAGGATTTCCAAAAAAATTCCTGTATGCGTTTAAGGTAGGATTTTTTCTCCTCGATAGTCTGCCAAGTTACTGAAGAGAACCGAGGCAAGTTTCTTTCGAAGTCCTTCAACAAGAATTTTTTGCATTCTTCTATTCATCTGAGAATATCTCAAGCTAAAAATTCACAGGAAAGCAAAGGGCTAGTATTAGTCATCTTCCTCTGAAGGAACCATGAAAGCAATATTTTATTGGAGAATAGATTGCGAGAAGAACTATAAGAATCATGACGTGACTTTCTATGCAACTGGCCTTTACTAGAATCCAGCCTTCATAGAGGAAGATGTTTAACCTTATAGCCTTCAAGTTTTTGTTTTCCTATTTCTACATCCAATGACAATATATTTATAAAAATGCAGGAATACTTGCTCATGCTTCAAATACGGCCCCTGATTTAAAAATGGGCCGAGAACGCCCCAGCAGTTGGGACATTTGGCGCCAAATGTACTTTGTATAAAATGTCAAAGGGATCTACCTTGATAAAGGCGCTATGTTGCACTGCTTTTGTGTTCCTTTTTCTACAGATTAACAAGACACATCGGTTAAACCAAGTCTTTCTTAGGAGTTACGCCTCCTTGAACCTAACTAACTTTCTAGAAATTCAGAGAAAGCAGAGACTCGACTCGGAGACTTTCAATGGAACAGACGTTTGTGGTACTTTCCCTGAAACAGTTCCTTCAAGAAACCCCATGCGTATATTGTATGCTATCAATCTGAAGGACAGCTCCAAAGTGTTTCCGAGGCAATCTTTCGAGCTACTCAAGTTGCTTACAGCTAATGTTGCTTCAAAGAGCTTCGTGTCTATATACGAGAGTGGAAGCAAAGATGATACTTGCAAAAAAGTCAAAGAATTTGCCAAAACTCTAAAGACTCTGGGAATTGACCACTTTGTTCACTGTGGGAAATTGACTAAAGGCAAAACTCAAAACAGGATAGATTTCATGGCAAACTTGAGAAACGCTGCATTGAGACCTCTCTTTGAGAAAACATTTACTGCAGATATTGTGGTCTTCATAAATGATGTTTTCTTCTGTGCTACAGACTTGGTTCATTCCATCGAATATTTTGAAAAGGGAGCTAACATGGTTTGTGGATTAGATTTTGATAAGAGAATTTCTTTCTATGATACTTGGGTAGCCCGAGACATCTCTGGGAAAGTTTTAGGAAATAGGCAAAACTGTGATATGTTCCCATCCAAGGAGGATCGCACTCTCTGTCTTCAAGGCAGCTGTGTACCAGTATACAGTTGTTGGAATGGAATAGTTGCATTTCATGCTTGGCCCCTTATTGAACGTCGTCTACGATTTAGACTGGCAGATGCAGCTTTGCAAGAATGCCCTTGTTCTGAGTGTACACTATTCTGCAAGGATCTTTGGAACATTGGTGCCAAAAACATATGCGTTGACTCTCGTCTTCGAGTTGCCTATGAGTCCAAGGTCTTTCTGAAAGCAAGAGAGTTTATGAACTCTTCATCTCCCAGAGTAGAAACTCCAGGACTATTCTTCAACATTACCAAACCGGAAAAATTTCTTTGCGAACCTCTCAATTTATCATCAAGCAACACACATCCCTTTAGGAAGCAAGCATATTGGACTTCAACGGACTGAATATCTTAATAATCAGGTCAAAGTGATTATCATTTTCATAACATTCCTCTATGGAGAGTAGAAATTCCCCGGCTGGAAAAAAATATACAAACCAAAGAAATGTTCAGGTTTAGACATAGAAGAAACAAGCTAGTTAAAGGAATCAACTCCATTTTCTTTGAAAATTTCTGATAAGTTTTTAAGCTGCTGAGTTTATTTTTCTTTCTTGATACACTTTGAAACAGTCTGTTCGTTGAATTTTTCTCTGAAAAGCCAACGGTCTTCTATCTCTTATAAAAGGCATGTTCTTCTTTGTCTTGTAAACATTTGTTATAAAGCTATCAATTTTATCTATTGTAGCCGCTAATGAAGTTGTTCCTAAATTTTATCAAAAGGGTGTTGTACAAATTCAGACTCAACTTGTATTCTTTGAGAACTTGTGTTAGTTTTGAAACTTGCGTCTTCTATTTGATATGCTTTTTACAAGTGAATTCTCTACCTTGTGAAAATTCCATTATCCAACACTCTGTTTTCTGGAAAGAAAACTATTTTTTTAATGGAATCTCTCAATGGCTATGTAAACAGACCTGGTCCTTAAAATTTACCTAAACCATCAGATATTGCTGAATATTGAATAGTTTAACGAATATTTTGGTATATTTCTCATAAAGAATGAATACTGTTTCCGCCTTAATTCTGGATTGGCTAATTGGTCGTAGAACAGTTTGAATTCTGCAGCAGCTTAAGGGAACCACAGTCTTTCACGAGGATTGTTTATTTGTAAAACCCTTCAGTCAATAGGAACTTTTACTGGGCTCATGTCTACCCTTGCGGAACAGTTTGTGGAAGATTTAGAAGATGATACTAGAAATTCGGAAAGTCTGGACAACGCTGAACACCCTAGTGGAGCAAATTCAAAGGCTCAAGGAAAGCAGACAAGTTCCGACTTTAAGGAAGTTTTAGAGCTAGTTTCTGAAGCTCAAGATTCTTCGGAACAAGTTGGACCAAGAGAGTACGAACTTGTTAATCTTTGTATGAACTACCTTTCTTTTGTCAAGGAAGAAATTGCTTCTATAGGGAAAAAACTAAAGAAAGCCTACGGAAAGCGCTTTCCTGAATTGGAAACTTTGGTTTCTGACCCCGTTGACTATGCACGAACTGTCTTCATTCTTAGGAACGACGTCGATCTTTGTCGAAAAGACTTGAGTGGAGTTCTCCCTCAAGCAACGGTAATAACTGTAGCAGTTACTTTTGCCTCTACAATGGGAGAGGTACTGTCAGAAGACGAACTAGACGAAGTGCTTGAACTTTGCAAAGAGATATTTTATTTAGACGAAGTGCAGAAGAAGCTTGTAAATTTTGTTGAAAGTCGAATGAGTCTGTTGGCGCCAAATGTGACAGTTCTGGTTGGTAGTTCCATAGCAGCACAGCTTATCGGTTTAGCTGGAGGCATAGAAAACTTGGCGAAGATTCCTTCCTGCAATATACAGACTCTTGGATCCAACAAATCTCTTGGTTTAGGCCTGTCCACAAGGTTCACGAGTCCTCATGAAGTGGGTATTCAGAATATTATGATGGTTTTATTTGACATGCACTTTGGTAGGGCTATATTTTTCGTTATTCAGAAGTCCAGTCTTTACCTTACGGCTTGAGAAAGAAAGGAAACCGTCTTATATCTGCCAAAGTTTCTTTAGCTGCTCGTGTTGACGCAGCAAAACAAAGTAGGGACGGAAGGATAGGAAGACAACTCAAGGAGGAAGTCCGTCAGAAATTTGAAAAGTGGCAAGAACCTCCGCCTGCAAAGACTGCAAAACCTCTACCTGTACGTTTCTGTTTCTCTTATTGTTCAATTATTATAACTATAACTGTAGGTACCTGATGAAAAACCTAAGAAGCGACGCGGTGGTCGTCGATTGCGAAAACAAAAGCAACTTTATGCTGTAACTGAACTTCGAAAGCAACAGAATCGTTTGGCGTTTGGGAAGCCAGAAGAAAGTTATGGGAATGACATCGAAACTGTTTGTGTCTTTCTTCTCACTTAAACACTTTCTTATTTGTTTTCTAGGGTTTTGGTATGATAGGGTCAGGATCTCTCCACTTGCAAAGTACAAAAACAGACTCTGTTTCAAAGGCAGCCAAAAGGAAGTTGGAAAAACTGCGTTCCAAAGAACCTTCTTTGGGGAAGAAACTTATGTCCGGCTTTCAAACTAGTCTTTCTTTTGCTTCAGGCGAAGGAATGCAGTTGGGAACTTTAACACCTGCTCCTGGAGGCGTGGGTGTTGGTTCGCTAAGTAATCAGAGCGGAATCCAAAGCACTTATTTTTCGGCAGCTACGCCTTTTTTTGGTTTGAAGAAATAATCACATTTTTCCCGATAAGTAAATTTGATTGAGACTTGATGGACGGTGTTGAAGTTGACTTGGGGAGTTTGTCTTGTGCAGACGTGAGACCCATATTTCAAGAAGAAACAAAACAAGAACTAGAAGAACGTATTCGACGTTCTGTAGAGTTTCTTGTTCATGGCCTTTTCACTTTACCTGAACAAAGCTCGGAGCGGAAGAGTCAAAGGGAGTTACCCGAACCATTTTCAGTAATTCCACGTGCCAAGCCGATCCCTAAAGAAAAGCCTCTGACAAAGTGGGAACAGTTTGCAAAGATTCGAGGAATACGAAAGAGGAAGAGAGATAAATTTGCCTGGGATGAGGGTCGTGCAGAATTTCGTCCGATTCACGGTTACCGCAGCATCAATGATGGAAGTAATCAGGTGATATTGCCTCATGACCCTTCGTTGGAACCTGGAGAGTCTCCATTTGATCTATTAAAGGAAGGTAAAAGGAAAAGAATCGCATCTAATCGTAAGAATCAGGAACGCAACAAGAGAAGTTTGTCCAAAAATCAACTGCCTACACACGCGTTAAGAGCAGATAAACGTAGTTCCAAGAGTTTAGAAAGGTCGGCCAAAATTGTATCCATTTCCAACCGGTCACTCGGGAAACATGAGGAGGGAAAGAAATCAAAGCAGAAACTTTCCTCTACAAAAAGATCCCTGAAAAAAGTAAGTATACTTGCATCTAGTTGATTGTGGTTTTTATCAATTGATAATTGATCAGAGTATCATTCCAAATGGTGTTGAACGAGAAAGAACTTTCCAAGCAGTGAATGATGTTCTTAAAAACTTTTAAGTATTTTGCATTGTTAATGGCATTAGATGTTGTAAAATGCAAAAGTTTTTGTTTTCATTGGTTTTGGACAAGTCAAGAATAGGAATGACTCTATTTTCTTGGTTTTGTTTCTTTGTTTCTATTCGATGTTAGAGCCATATCTGTCTGCATAAAAGAAACTTACAAAAAATCGCTTCTTTGTCTTTTATAACTTGTAGATATTCATTAATTTTTGCAGCAGAGACTTGAATATGTAAACTTCACATCAGAGGAGGCCAATTCTAAGAGTTTCATGGTCAAAGAACTCGTGGAAATCGCTCTCTATTCCAATTCTTTAAGTTTATCAGAAATACAGTCACAAGACCTTACCGAACAGTCAAGTATTAAATACGTCTCGAATCCCTCTAGCACTCCATCAAGACAAGTATAAGCTACACAAAAGTCCAAAGCTAGTCCTATGGAAAGAAACGTTGGCGTTACATAAAGTAGAGCAAAGAACTTACCACAAACGTATAACTGCGATACATCTTTTTCAACAAGTCTTTCTTTTAGTTGAGTCTGTTTCTGCTTTCCATTGTCCCAGAACGCAGAATAAGAATCTATGTTTGGATCAGTTCCCTTCTGAATTAGTATATCACTGACAATCAATGCGTTTAAAGCCGATTCTCAAACAAGTCCAATATTACCTATCTCGATGAGTTAAAAGTGGATGAAATTCTGCTCCTACTGAGTTCTGAACGCAATGCACAGGCCACAGAATCTGTTTCACACCACTTTCCTAACACAGCACAATTAACGAGGCTATAACTCACTTCAAATATGTCAATACTTCTATCGCGTCAAACACTTCGTGACCAGGATGATTCTTAGCAAAAGAAACATGATTCTCCGGGTGCCAATCCTTCGAGAATTCCAACCATCTCAGTATCACTCACATCCAAACAGCTTACCTGAGTCTCAACTACAACATCGAAAAATCCTGTATTGCGAAGTTCATTGATAGGCTTCAAAATTTCCTCAGCACCCGGAACTTCCTAGTTGGCAACTTAGATGTTGAACAGGACTAGGACTGCAACCAACCAGACTGCCCCCTTTGCAAAAGTCTCTTTGAACATCCACAATTACTAAAGCACGAGTCATTCTTTTCCACATTTTATGTGCGATGGACATGCAATCCTTCTCAAGGCTGCGAGTTCGAGTAGAAGACTTGTCAAATAAGGTTATTCAGCTGTTGAATGACTATAAGTTGTCAGAAACCATGTCACAGGATTGGAACGAAAGTTTTCGGTAGGTTCGCTAAAATAAATCTTTGTATTTGAAGTAGTCAAGTTTTTGAGCAGAGAGCAGTTGTATGAAAAGTACGTTTCTATTGTCACTTTAGAACACTTACTTAGAAGAGATTTGGAAACTCTTTTCCTTTCTTCCTCGGAGTGGATCTTAAAGCCAAAAGTACCAGGAGAAGAGACTCTTCAAGCCTTGCCGGATCTACTCCGAACCAAACCTGACCAAGAATATCTCAAATACTTGAACGATAGTTATTCCTTGTATTTGAAGGAGTCTGAAGTTGATGAGAAAGATTCTCACGCATTGAATTTGCGAATATTATCCATTCGGAGGGTGTGCAATACTCTGCTTGAGAAAGTTGAAAGGTTTCTAGAACAAGATAGCAGTTCTGGAAATCCTTTCATCAAGTCAGCGGAAGAACAATCAGACAAAAGTGTAGAAAACTCTCTTTCTTGGCTGATGTATGAAAAAGGAATCGGTCTGAGTTGAAAGGAGCTACGTGACACAACATTGTTGTATTCTTTGACGTCTCTAAGAACTTTATGGAGTCTGTTTATCCAGAAACTCAAAGATGCTTTTGTCTCCAAGGTCATTCACAACCGGTGAGCTAAACTTCCTTACTACAAAATAAATATACGATAAGCTAGTGAAAAATGATAATATATTTGCTGTTTCGGCAGATAATAAAGAAAGAAAGTGTCCAATTGAAAGAGCAGGGACCATGAAAGTCAACAATATGGCTTCATATTGACGGTAACAGAAAGCTTCCTTAAACAAGAGTCCACTGAATGCAATAAGAGTCCAACCTGAAAATAACAAAGAGGAAGGGTGTTTCACAGTTTCCAAGACAAGGCCATTTGACTCTGAAGAAAACTGAACGAATAACATTCCCACAACTCCCACAAACCAAAGAATCTGTAGGGTTTGCTTAAGTACTTTTGCATAGATGTGAACGTACCATAACGCTACGTAAAGTGACAAAGTACTCAGCCAAATGGAAAGATCCAGAAAACGGTGTGGAATATCGGGAAAAAAGTTAGCAAGAACTAAACTGATGCCAAGGCAAAGAGAAGAGACTCCTAAAGAACCTCTATAACACCAAACTTCAAACACATCTCTTTCTGTAAGGTACCACTTTCCAAAACGACCTGGAAAAGGTCCTTCAACTGGTTTATCACTGAACAAGCAGTTGACTGTTCTCAGAAAACAAGGAAACTTTGAAATGTTTCTATTTCTTTTCTCGCATATCCAGCAAGTTCGACCCCTACTTGAAAGCTGAGGAGTTTTTGACCCAAAGACAATGCTTAGGAACATGACAGAATTCTCCACACAGATTCTTGGAGATTTTTGTTGCAGATGGCCATAACAAATGAAGTTTACATAATTACTTCATTGGTTCTATAAACCTCAAGCTGTTTTATATAGTAGGTGTACCTTCAATTTCCTATATTCATCATGTGCAAAAGTCCCATTTATATTTACTTGGAAAATGATAGTTTCAAATAGCATCAATAATTTATAATAGAGACCACGTTTGAAAGAGGTAATAATAATAGATATCCTTTTTAATTCTCAATTTTGAAAAAGACATATAAAGTATCATCAAACAGTTCCTTTCAAGTCTGAAGTTCAAAGTAATACATCTTCCAATCAAGTTGGTATAATAAATCTTTGGTCATATGGATTCGGTAGTGAAATTGTCCACTAAACAACTAGACCTCTTTGTGGAGTCAGGAAAGCCTGCTTCCACAAGTTTGACAGTAGAAAATATTTCAAAAAGTTATGTATGCTTCAAAGTAAAAACTACACAGCCACAGCGCTACTCGGTACGCCCTAGTGTCGGAATTATCAAACCAGGTGAAAGGAAAGATGTTCTAATAACGCTCGAACCTTTGAAGGATATACCAGAAGACCTCAAGGCTAGTAAGGACAGATTTTTACTACAAGTGATAAAGATATCTTCAGAAGCAGCGAAAACAGATGTTCACGAGCTATGGAAAAAGGTGAAGGAGGAATCAGTCTTGCAGCAGAAATTTCGAGTCCAATTTGTATTAGGAGGACACAGTATGGATCTCGGCTCCAGCTCAAATGCTTACTCATCACAAGCGTCTCTTCAGCCCACAGAAAGATACACTGAAGGAGTTTCAAAGGGATCGGAGGCATATACAAGTATTTACTCGGACAGGTTTGCTTCCGACCCTCTCGTTGGAAACGGAGCAGTAAAACAAGACAAGACCAAAGAAGATAGCAAACTTCCCATTGACTTAAACGACTCGTCGCGCTTCACGTTGGAAAGAATAAATCTATCAACTGCTTCATCTCCAAGGTATGTTTTGAGTATCTCTAATGAGAACCTTTATAACTCTCGAAAGATTATTAGAAAAGAATCATTCTCTTATCTCACTGGAAGAACGATATCAATTGGCTCTAGAAAGAATTCATGTATTGAATACAGAGCTTGCACTCCGGGATTTAGAACTTGAAAAACTAAGAGATAGTAAATATGGAAGGGAAGAATACAGAAACTCAGCATCTTCATCATCATACGAAGAGAATGATTCAGGTTTGTATTCCAAAATGTTTGGACTTTATCATTTTCACTTTTATCTATCAGAAGTCCTCACTGCAAGAGATGGACATTTTCAAGAAACTGGGGAGCCGCATAACCGTGTGAAGAGTTCACGAAAGAACACAAATAATGGTCTTGTTGGAAACATAGGTTTCTCTGTGATTCAAGTTTTTTTAATTGTACTCATCAGCTTCTTTTTTGGAAAGGTTGGTAATGCTTTGGTGAAATGTACATTTTATTGAAAACTTTTTAGTACTTATCGTAAGAAGTAGTTTCGCCATTTTCGTGTTACTCAGATACAACAAATGTGACTGTTAACTGTTTTACGAAGAATTCAAACTGAAAGTTCTTTTGTGATTGTTTTTGAGACATACTCTCACGTAAGTAACTTTAGCACTGACATTGAATAAATATTTTATTCAGTAAAGTTTAAAACGTTTCTTATGCAGTTGTGTAAAAAGGGCAAAGGTTGATGAAATGGTAAGACTTTTAAGCATCCTCCAATCTTTTTCTTAGCCATTGTCTCTAAGAAGACTCATTCTGTGTCTAAAGAAACAAAGGAATTGTTTGTGGATATTTTGAAGACTTGTAAAATATTAGTGTAAGGCAATATCTTATAAAGAAAGAAAAGACCATAACCTCCAAACTTACTATTGGCCAAATTGGGCGAACTTGATACAGCTCAATATGGAAGGAGGCTCTTTCAAGTCAAAACTGGAACCAAACGAAGAACCCATGGAGCTCGAGATAACACGGGAAGCTGAAAATGAGATTCAAGAGAAAATCTCTCAATCTGATAATAAGCCACTTTCGGACGTTCTCGGAGAATTACTGGGTTTGGAAAGGAATTATCGTCTCGCAGGGTTGACCGCCGAGACAACTAAAGTTTGTTTAGAAATTATCAGACTATGCCGTAAAAGAGGTGACTGGAAACTTATTTTGGAACATGTTCAACTTTTATCGAAGAGAAGAGCCCAAGTCAAGCAAGCGATTGCCACTGTTGTGAGAGAGTGTATGACTTACCTCAATGACCCTAACCTGGATGAATCCACAAGATTAGAAGCACTGAGAGTTTTGAGAGAAGTTACAGAAGGAAAGATCTTCCTTGAATTAGAACGAGCAAGACTCACCAAAACTCTTGCAGAAATAGAGGAATCGAAGGGGAACGTTGCAGTTGCTGCTGATTTAATGGAAGAACTTCAAGTGGAAACTTTTGGTTCTATGGACAAAAGAGAAAAGATCGTCTTCATCCTTGAACAAATAAGACTATCGTTGGATAAGGGAGATTATATTCGAGCTTCTGTTGTGTCTCGTAAAATTACTCCTCGAAGCTTTGAGGGTGACGACTTTGAAGACTTACGTCTCTCTTACAATAGACTTATGGTGCGGTTACATGTTTACAACAAAGACTTTTTAGAAGCTTGCAAGTGTTATATAGCTCGATATCAAACTTTGCTGGCCCAACAAGATGCTTCTTGGAAGCAAGAACTCCGAAATGCTGTTATTTGTATTCTACTGTCTTCGTTCAATAACGAACAGAATGACTTGCTTTTTAGGATATCAGAATATAAGCAACTTGGAGACCTTGGAGAATTTTCAAAGCTTTTAGAATTTTATACGAAGAAAGAACTTATTCAATGGTCCGAAATGATAACACGGTTTGGACGAGAATTGAAAGGCATTTCGTTGTTGGAATTTTTGGATGAAAAGGAAGCCATGAACCTTTTACATGTGAGAACTATTGAACATAATCTTCGAGTTATCACAGTTTACTATACTTGTATTTCTGTTGAAAAACTTGCGAAATTATTAGATTTGAACCCAGAGGAAACGGAAAAATATCTTAGTGATCAAGTATCCAGTCAAGTGTTCTGGGCCAAAATCGATCGGCCTTCAGGTATAGTTCGGTTTACGAAGCCCCAATCGAGTGAAGCAGTTCTTAATGATTGGTCTCATCGTATCACGAACTTGTTAAACAAAGTGGAATATACTTGTCACTTGATACATAGAGAACGAATGGTTCATAAGAGTATACTTTCATCTTCGGAATCTTAGTGAAATTGAGCATGTATGGTAATCAAATAAAAGTGTTATTTTTGATGCCACAGTTTTTATCTACAAAATGTCTTCGCGGTTGATCAATATTAAGCAATAGGACTTGAAACAGTACGCTGTCTCAAACCTCTAAAATGTTTGGGAGAATAAGATGGATTTTCTTGAATATCGTCAAAAAAGTCACCTTTGTCGTTGGAGACAACTCGCACAAAAACGTCTTCCAAAGTGCTACTTGAAACAGCCCAATCTCTTATTGGAAAATCCTTTGTGAGTTTGGCTACTTCCTCAAAGACTCTAGACAGAAGCACAACAGATCGAGGTATATTATATATCAGATGACCATTTATGTTTCGGTTCAACTCCACTTTTTCCTTGAAAACTCCATTCAGTCGAAGCAACATGTCCTTGGCTATTGCTGCACTTTGGTCATGTCTTTTACTGTCAATGGTTACTTCAATTCGGTATCCCATTCCCAAACGATTTTTTAAAGACTCTGGGTCACCAACACATAAAAGTGATCCGTGTGAAACCAAACCGATCTACACTACATTAAAGAGCTTTCAACGATAACTTGGAAGAAATACCTTATCACAAAGACGTTCAGCTTCATCCATTGCATGAGTAGTCAGCAAAATTGCTCGTCCTGGCTTTTGCTCTTCTATAAACTTCCATAATGCATGTTTCGAAAGAGGATCCAAACCTATGATCATTTATCCATACGATATGGGAAGAATCCCGTTGAAGTTATCCCACCTGTGCTTGGTTCATCTAGAAATACTATTTCCGGGTCCCCAGCAAAGGCAATGGCAACGCTCAACCTTCGTTTCATTCCGCCACTAAATTTTCCAACCAACTGACTCTTAGATGAGTGTAAGCCAACACTTTCCAACAAACTGTCAACACGCTTTTTAATATTAGACCCTCCACCTTTCAACTTTGCATAGAAATAAAGATGCTCTTCTGCAGTCAAGTCGTCCCAAAGAATGCTATGTTGTGGACAGACTCCAGTCAATAGATTGATTTGTTGCATATCCTTCCAAACAGAATAACCTCCTAGAAATGCTTGCCCGCTCGTTGGTGGAAAGAGTCCTACATTAAGTAGTCTATAAGATTTTCCTAAGGCTCGATAAGAATCCAAATACCTGACATAATGCTGACAGTTGTCGTCTTTCCAGCGCCATTTCTTCCGAGCATTCCAACACAGCTACCTATTGGTATTGAAAAGGAAAGATCTTTCAAAGCCACGTGAACTCGCTTCTTTGAAAACAACTTTCCAGTATCGTATTCCTTTCGCAAGTGGAACAAATAGACGCCAGGCTTTTCATTTAAAATTCCCCGATAGCAAGTGCGCTGCTCTTCAATAACATCTAAAGGAAAGGATACTCTACTTTTTGTAGTAGGTGTTCCTCCTCCCATTTCATCTATATCAAGTACTACATCGTCTTTGGAGACAAACTTTCGAGGAGAATCTAAACCTATAGTCAACTTTAGTCGCTAGACTATCAACAAGAAGAAGCTTGGTTCTACCTGAAATTGTGTTATCATACGACGATATCGGCAAATCTGTACTTCCTTCCGGAGAATGGGTTCCCGTTCTTGGCCAACAGAAAGTGGTCCAACTTTTAAGTCCTTGCAAGGTTAAACTTTGACTTGTACTTTTGAACCACGGAAAACCAAGGAAGAACAAGGGATGCTTCCGATATCCTTGCTGAGGAAATACCATATCTATATAGATACCTAATAATAGAAATAGGATCCACTCGACTACTAGAAACTCCATTACTATGCAACAAGGCATAGGTTTCCTACACATTCCAGTAGCGCCACTTAAGGATACCGCAAATCCTGCTATAGTTAGCAAATAGGGTTCGACAAAAAGTCATCACTTACCCGCTTCATTTGCTTTGCCTATGTAATACAACGCTCGAAGAAAAGCAAAGGATGGCAGAATGCTAGTCCAGTTCATAAGTGACTCACTCGCATGGTATTTCACAAGTTTAGTGATATATAAGAAACCCATGAAGTTCACAACAATAACATATGTCCATCCCAACTATGAGTAACTAGTCAATAAATTATATAAACTAACATTCGGGCCTATCCTTACCATCAAGGCTTGGCTAGGGTTTCTCATCAAACTTGAAAGAAACATTGAAAAAGCGATGCAGGTGTTGCCCCAAACAAAAAACAATCCTATGTAAGTTAAAGGGTAGTTTTCCGAGAAAAAAGTTATTCGGAAAGCTAATCCCAGTAAAATAATGATGGCAGAAAATAGTATAAACATAAAAAGCATGAAAATGTAAGTCACCAGCCAATACACCTAAAAACCATCAGTACATAACAAGTTCCTCATTTTCATAATAGACGTACTCCTGTTTGTAGCCCCATCATTTTCATGAGAACTCTCAAACCAGACGTCCTTTCATAAACAAGGGTTCTCATGTAGGAAGGTATGAGAAAATGCAAAAGCAAAGCTATGGCTATCATTCCATAAATATCCAAAAAATTTTTGATTGCTGGAACACCATTTTCCATAGGCATTAAAAGATTCGCGACATGATACGGAAGTCGGTTGGTCAGTCGATATCGTTCAGACTGCGTGAGATTAGAACCCAAAAGCAGATTTGATACATTTGGACTGCTATAGTTGAGATGGTTGAGAGATGACAATAAATCTGTAATTGATAAATTGGAAGGTAAAGCTGCTCGAATAGTACCTTCTTTCTGAGACAAAATTCCCGAAGAAGAACTCCTTCCAAATGTGTAGCGATAAAAAGCATCAGATAGTCTCATAACACTTGCAACAAGCTGACAGTTTCCTCGAGTACAACTGTTGTACTCATAGTAATCCATTGTTTCAGTTAGTACAGCATTGTAAAAAACATCAACAACAAAACCAATCGTAGACAGGACACCTTGACTGGTCCGCTTCCAAAAAGAACTCAAAGAGTTAGAATCTGTGAATCTCGAAGGGGAACTGTTGTTTCCCAAATTGGTGTTGATATAACTAAATGCAAATGCTGCGTAATAATTGCTATCAAACCCTAGACTTCCGGGATTGTCTGACATCAATGTCTGGATTATGTCTTGACGACCAGACTTGCTGCTTCGCACTGTACCATTACTTTCTTTGTCACTAGTATGAACAGAAAGAGCGTAGTCAATCAAATTGTGTCCATAAAGTTCTGCTGCTTCATAATAACTCAGGTATTTCAACATCTCAGAGGTATTTCCTCTAAATTGCGAAAAATTTCCATACACTAAAAACTGCTTAGGATTATCACCTACAAAAGGTTGCAAAGTAAATTCACTCAAAATTCCAGAAGTTTTCACATTAGGCTGTCCATTATTCTCAGTTGCAAGAAGAGCACATTGAGAGGGATTTGAAAAAATACTGCAAGCAGGATAACTGATACTTCCTGCAGATTCACCCTGACCCGGCTGAGACACAAGGAATTCATTATTAGTGCTATTTCGAATCGTTATGTCAACGATTTCCGATAGATAAGCGACTTACCCCACATAATAAGGATTTCGAAACTGCGGAATAAAATAACCCATGTTCTTTGCTTCATACTTTACTGCCGTGTCATGCATTACAGAATCTGCCAATTTGCTGATGCCATACAAAACTGCTAAAATGATCAACGGCGCCAGGATATTCAATAAAAGCTCCACCTTTTGGCGCCTTTGGAAGTGAAAGCTCTTCAAAAATAGCGCTTCAACTTGGTTGAAATAAAACACAACACTATTCCTTTTCTGATTTCGATCATTATTATTCACACCATAGCCCTCTGGAGCTCCATAGAATCGAAATTGTCCTGAAACTGGACCTTCACCACCCCAAGTGACTACTCTTCTATGTTTTTGAGTTTCCCCAGTATAGGCGGCTTTAGACGTCTCTTCCGAGCCTTGGGCAGCATTACAAGTACTGTTCTCTTTATTAACAACGGGTATGCAAGGAAGAGACTGTTCCAACATGCTGCTAGGGAAATTTCATGAGAAGAGTGACCAGAAAGTATGTGGCGCTATCCTTTCACCAGGACCACGAGACATAGAGATTCTAGAAGGGAGGGCCTTATTCGCCCAAAAAATTGGCGCAACTTTCGCTCGAACACAGTGAATACATAACTTCTCGTTTGTATCGGCGTTTTAGTCGAAACTTATATCCTCATAAACAGAAAACATATTCTTCAAGTTACTATGTCTCTCAGTCCTCTCTTCTGAAATCATTATTGAAAGGTCAAGCAGTCGAATAAGGCTAGGGGTATGAATATGTAACACTGAAATTGCTATTAAAGCAACCCAGTGAAGGACACATACCAGAGGTCGTACAGTGAAGCAAAATGACGTTATTATGAGCTTAAAGTCACAGACATAACATAAATCGATAGAGATTGATTTGAACTTTGCTTCAGTAAGCTAGACCTAATTGAATGAAACGGGTTACAGAGTCCGAGAGAACGGTTGTTTTTTATTAAAGTGGGCTTATAACTCTTGATTTTAACGCATATGATTTCTTTTTCGCCACAGTTAATAATTAGGCACAACATATGTCCTGCAAATGTTGCATTGTTTTGAAATCTTTTGTGAAAAATACCTTATGACTCAGGACTTTTCAAGCTGGCTTATCGCAAGTATAAAAGCAGTGATGTCCAAACTACGAAGACTCGTTAGGAGGGCAGGACCAAGACGTTGTCGATATGCTTGAAGCCTCCATAGGCAGTGTCACCAAGTTGCAGATATACAGCCCTTCATAAGGAAATAAAATATGATAATATAACCAGCGTAGCAAACGGATGCTGTTTGTCGATGGTCCAAAACTGTATTGACTTGTTGATCTTAGTAAAAAGACTGGAAATGTTGTGATGATAATAAAAGGACTTTGAATTGATATATTTTGAGTTTCTAGACCTACACTTAAGCTCACCATCTCACAAACATTAATGTAAGTAAACCACTTTGCATTTATTTATTTGAATCGTAAAGCTAAAATGCGACAAGAGTTCCATTGTCATGCTCTGAAGGAGGAACTTGTCTATAGTGACTCTGCAAAAAAACGAGAATAAGGAGAGCAAAAGTTGTCATTTAACAGTCAGTCGTTTTTTGATAGTTACGTGTTGTTTTGCAAAAAGTTTTTGGGAGACTTTTACGTTAATGTTAATCACTTTCACTTTTTGTACTCATAAAGCTAGATAAGAAACTTAAAAATAGAATAGCCTCAAACAGGCAATTGTGACCTAACAACTTGCTTATCTTTGTCTAGCAGCGATTGTTTTCTTGAGTCTAGAGTCTGTAACACGGAAAACACTGAATTAAGGGAGCCGTCTACAATCTGCATTGGAAAGCGATCTCGCTATCTCCACACTTTTGTTTCCCCCAAATGTAGTTGAGGGTGCGTAACATGAGATAGAAATTTTTGGAATGGGCTTAAAGGAAGAAATCCCTTTCGTCATATTATCATTCTCCATTTTGGTCGTTTTAAGCTGAGATTGTAAGACATTTATTGTAGAGTTGTATATTGATTGACCAAACTCAGCAGTGACGTATTTCAGGGAAAGGTTTGAAATAAGTGGGACGAAAACCAAAGCCTGTACAGTAAGCGTTAGTTTTGAAGGGAAGCGTTGGTTGGTTGTGCCAAGTGAATTCAGCTCTCGTTCAGAAGGTTGAACTTAAAAGTTTTTGATATTTGGGACAACGTATATAGAAAAAATTCCAATTTTGGCAAACACTAATTGTACCTTTTTCGCAAGCTTCGTTTAAGTTTTCGTGTTAGTGTTGTGAGATTTTTTTTGCCGTTTTAGAGAAAGTTAACAAATAGAGTCGGAAGCTTTTGTTGGAATGGAGTCAACCCTATCAGTTCCACCCTCTTGTGGAGAAGCACAAAAAGGTAATGGCATAGACTACAGCAAGAATCCCGGTCGGAACAGTATGGAAGGCTTTGTTGAAACCAGCTGTGAGAACGGAATCTGGTTAAAGAAGAACGTATCGGGAAAAACAGAATATCGTAGTTTTCAAGAGCAAGCAGGCGCAAGTTATGGACAGTGTGTGGCTAACTCAACACTTAAGGGTTATTTGGTAGACTCTTCCTCTCCTGTTGATTTTGGGAGAGATAAGGTAAAGTGGGACAATAACATATATTCCTCATCGTTGGCTGGAGGGTATGAGCAAGACAAAATGCTTTCAGAAACTCGCTCAGATGTAATATTGGACAGTAGCCTTGCCCCGGATGCGGACTCTTCTGGAGATTCCACGAGCACCACACCTTCTTTTTCTCCAAACTATTTGTCTCCTCTTCTTTCTCCGCAGCTAAAGCCTTCGAGTCTTCCTTCTCATGAGATTTTTAAGAAGCCGTATTCAGTTCCAGTATTACATGTAGATAATGAGCAACGAAACCAGAATTCTAACGAATACTCTTCAGGAAATAATAATTCAGCCTACGCAACTTCAGACCGATTGCAGAAGGAGTTAGCGGATGATGGTATTGGTTTATCGGGCTTGTCGCCATCATGTGACAGACGCTATGAGGATTTGGGGTTGTCTGGAAGGAAATCAAAATTTATCCAACCAATTGGGACTAGACAAAGTCTTCGAAGTGGATCTGCAAGGAGCGGACTTGGTTCACCTCTTTTGTTTCACGTAGAAAATACAGGTGAAAGTGATTCATCGCCTAAACGGAATCAAGAAATTGTTTATGAAGATTTTCGTTGTGCTTCCGTCCAAAAGTTCAACTCGCATGAACTACCTGCAGATACTAGTAGTGTAACACTGAATCGAGAGGTAACCGGCAGAAGTTTAAGCGATACATTCATGTCATCGTATTCACCCTTCGAAAGTCCTTCGCTAAGAACATCTGTCGTCGAAGGGAATCAGTCTCAAGGAGGTTTTTGTGATGAATCACCACAGAAGTTTTTTCGATTCGCCAATCTTAATCCTATTGCTAACGATAGTTTGTTTCGTTCGTCGTCTTTAAGTGCTCTAGATCGGAATGGTTCGAATGGTTCCTCCGCTCCGTCCTCTTTAAAGATAGACGATTTTGTTTCTCATTCTCTAACTTCACAACGAAGAAAAGTTTTCCAACAGCAAGGATTTTCAGGTGAAAGGTATAGTTCTTCTTATGAAGACGTTTTGTCTGCATTTCGCACTTTAGAGTGTGCTGAAAATGGTCGAGAAACGAAAGAGAGTCAAACTGTGTCGAATAATTGCTCGCAGTACTCTTCACCGCGAGTTATATCTTCTTCAACACGCGTTGACTTGAATGGCACAAGAAGTAACTATTCCTATAATGAATATTCACCAAGTCATATTCGTTACCTCAATTCTGAGACCCCGAGTCGGACTGTTCTAGTCAAAAATATTCCACCGGGTGTAGATGATAGCGAACTGAGGTGTTTGTTGGAACGCTTTGGTCCATTAAGAGACTTGGGAGCTCAACAGCGTTCGAGAGGTGGGCGTGGTGCTATTCAAGCTACTTATTTTGACCTAAGACATGCACGTGAAGCAGTCAATTTATTGCCAAAAGTATCATTTCACGGAAGGTATTTAGAAGTTCGTTTTATATTGTCAAGCGAAACATCTCCTGCTCTGAATGAACCTATGAAGAAAGGTATTCATTCAACAAACTCAGCAACTCATTTTAACAACGGTACTTTGGTGGTTTTCAACTTGGACTCTAACATTACTGCTGATGAGTTGAGGAAAGTATTTGGTGAATATGGCGATATCAAGGAAATACGTGAGTCACCTCATAAAAAGCATCACAAGTTTATTGAATTTTATGACGTCCGAGATGCTGAGGTAGCATTGCATAAGTTGAATAAGACGGAAGTTTCAGGTAAAAAGATTAAAATTGAAATCAGCAGACCTGGTGGAGTAAGAAGTCATCTTACGAACGATTCACTTTTTGCCAGTTCGAGTTATCCATCGTCTTCTTATACTGGCAACCTTTTAGAAGAAGAGAGTTCGTCAGATTCTCTTCCTGGATTTATATCTGGCACAGATCCGCATGGACTTGGAGAATACTCTTCATCGTTGCACTCATTTGTCATGGACGGATTCAGTTCTTCGGAAAGGTTTCCACTAGAGACCTGTGCCTATAATGTGAGCTCTTCGAGAAGTACTCCCATTCCGTCAAGTCGTTCGAATGGTTTTTCTTCAAAAGATGTTTTGAGACAGTCACCAAGGTCAATGTCAAGTCCGATGTTTCTTTCAGTTCATTCACCAAGTGGAAATAGAACACCGGGAGAAGGCTCCGCTTTGAATTCTCCTTCAGGCAGTGTTTCATCAAACGGAATGATTTCTCGTAGAAGTTCGTCAGATGATCGTTCCAAATTTATTCTTTATGTGGAAAAAGTTCATTCAGGAGAAGACATTAGAACAGCACTTATGATTCGGAATATTCCGAACAAATATAATCAGAGAATGCTTCTTGCAACACTTGAAGAGAACCATCGAGGAAAGTTTGACTTCTTCTATCTTCCTATCGATTTTAAAAATAGATGCAATGTTGGTTACGCCTTTATTAATTTTCGTCATCCTCAGTTTATTGTTCCCTTTTATTTTGAGTTTCATGGAAGACGCTGGGGAAGGTTTAACTCTGAAAAAGTTTGTGAAATTACTTATGCAAGAATTCAAGGAAGGAATAATTTGATTGCGCATTTTCAAAACTCATCTTTAATGAATGAAGATCCAAAGTGTCGTCCAATTATCTTTGGAGAAAATGGTGAAAGGTTAGAGTTTCCAATCGGTCCTCATGTACGAACTCGAAGAGGACCCAATTCCCGTGAAGTTTCTACTATGAACAAAGAACTGACATTGGATAACAACATTTCTCAGTAACCATGTATGTTATTTGTACTTTCTTGGAATGAGGTTAACAACACATCATATGAAAGTATCTATTCAGTTTCCTTTTGTTAGAAACTGAATAAGATTGGATTTCCTGTAGTGGTGTCTTTTGCTGTGTGGTTATATCATTTGTCGATAACTTTTGCATTTTATATTTTTTCACATGTTTGAATGTATATCTGAGGATTTCTTGGATGGATGAGTTACTAAAGGGTTTTTTGTACGGTTATTTCAATTTTCTTTTTGTAAAGCTTTTTCAAGTCTATATTTGACAAATTTGGATATGCTGGTTTTTGGACTCATACACTAGAAAGAAACCTTCCAAGGCAAATGAACCCGTTCCAAAGCATTTGGTTTGTCCGTATGTATATTGAAAAGATTCCAAACCACACCCCAAAACGAGAAATTGAGGAGGAGGAAATAACCAGAGACTTTGTTCATGATTCCAAAAGACAGGTTGCATATCCATAGGAAGTGGACAAAGATGTCCTTGATCCAATAAGGTTTGAACTATCATTTCACGTAGTCTGTTCAAGTTGTTTGGTAGAAGAAAGATACTATGTGGAACAAGTTTCTTCTCAATATTGTCTCGATAAAATATAATATTGGAGTTTTGACAAACTATTCTGACTGGATTGGAAGCAGCCGTTGAGCATTTGTAAAGATGTCGCAAAGGATTCAAAAGAGACTCCAAAATGGGAGGTCTTGGAAGAATATTCTTAATGCCCTAAATAAAAGTATTCAATATATAAAAAGATAACGAATTGACAGTGACATACTGGGTCATTGGGACCAGGAATAATGACCACTTGACATTGCTCGTTAGGAATATATTCATGTAGCAAGGATGCCAACTGTTGAAATCCATTGTTGAAATGTAACAAGTGGTCCTCGTCAGGATTCAGTGACGGTGACAAAAAGTTTCCCATGAGTACAACTGTATCAGGACACACATCATCCGCTTGTAGTGAACTGAATAACTTTTCTAATTTGTTAAAAACCGAATCATGATCGAGCCAAATCTCTGATATGATTACCATGATATGATTCTGTTGTTTCTCATGGACGTCCACTTCAGAATCAATCACTTGGCACAATGCCTTGGGTTCCATTATATTCGACAACGAGGCATCTAACGGAGGCATTTCTATATTAGTTACTCGGAACAATTGACCATTCCATTCTCCCCGTACAAGTACAATACAACCTTGAGTATATATTCTGTCACTTGAACAAGCTTCACTCAAATCCAATTGTATATATCCCGTTTCATCTTCGATGAAATATTTGTTGCCTTCAAACTTTCCAAGTATACCAAACAAGTTTGCTGTGAGACGATCTGTGCTGCTTAAGTTCTGAATGGGAGTCAAAGATGATGAAAGTTCCTTATGGAATATGGCCAAACGTTCACCTTGACCCAAAGAGGTCGCTTTTTTACTTTCCAAAGCTCTTGATAAAAGGAGTCTGTATCTTATCTTATATTGTTCCAGCATATTCTCAGGTGTATCCAATACTTTCAGACCCGTAGATTCTTTGAGGTATATTGTACTTGATTCACTACCAAGTGAGAGAATAGGTACTTCTCGAAAACTATCTATTATACGTGTAGGGTGAGATTGCTTTCTGTTTAAAACTTTTAAAATATCTTCTATTATTCTCTCTGCAACTTGTAAGGAAACAATAGTGTTTCTGGAACCACAACGAGAAAGAAATTCAGATATCTTGCTTGCAAACGCAGAAAGTGATTCATTCTCTACATTTTTCACATAAAAGTCTGCCAATCTATTCAAGGCATCGAGTTGCACAGAAACTCTTCTTTTCTTTAATACAAGCTGCAATTGTTGGCATAGATGTGCCTGGGAAGGTGTGCTTTTCATATTCGCTCATCCAAACCATTTGAATGAATCACCGCGAAAATCATTAGCAGCAACTCAGTTGAGGGTGCATATCTTGCTCAAATATTTGACTAGAATATACAACCAAGTTGTAACTATCTCATTCATAGGCTTACAATATTTCGTTGTTGTGTTCAAAAACTTCATTTTATTGTCGATTTGGCTCATCTTTAAAAACAATGTTCAAATAGGAAAGCTATCCTTTTCTCTATTTGTCAGTTTCGAAAAAGATTGAGTCCGCATAGGCACAGTAAAGAGGTTGCTTCTTTTTGAGATTTTGGGTAAAAAGGTATTTTATTCACTAGAAATGTTACTAGTGGTACTTGGCTATAGTTGAACAGATGTAAATACAAGCGAAGAGTGTTATATCCTTTGGTTTATAATTTGAAGTCCGTCACTTTCTTCTGGCGTCTTGTTGAGTCGTAATGGACAAATAGCAGTGATTTACCTCTTGAAAGGAACTTGTGTGTATAAATAAAGATGTGTGTGTGTGTGTGTGTTGCATATACTTTGAGAAGCAACATTTCATGAGAATCCAAAATTACTTTTGAGAAATTCGAATGCAATTTTACAACAGTTTAGTGTAAAATATGTATCCAGTTGGTCATGTATTGTTTACAGTTTGTGAATCCCTTTTACTGTAACGTTTTTCGTAAGAGTAGCGTTACTCTTTTTGGTGGACCTTTGTCGCGAAGAAAAGTTTCGGGTTTTGTTTGGTACTTTCACAAGTGCTTCGTTTCGACACCAGCAAAGTTCCAATTGGAGAAGAATGTAGAAGAGCCAGTGTATACTTTAGGAAAATATTTCATGAAATTTAGGAATCCTGGGGGATTTAAACTTCCTCCTGTGGTTCCTTCCAAGAAACAAGATCTTCAGAGAGCTGTTTCTCTTTTGGGTCATAGGACTCAAGGATATTTAACAGCTCCACGTGTAATTGAACTTATTCAATTGGTTGGTGCATATCCTCTAGATAAAGAAACTGCGCAGAGATGGAAGGGTGCTCTTGAATTGTACCAAAGAAAGGAAGTCAACTTAGCTCCGAAGTTCCAGAAAACTACTAGTAATAGACCAAGCCGACACTTTGTATATCGCGAGGGTGAAGTAGTAGGCTCCGTGTTGTATAACAAGTTTATGGACGTCATTTCAGTTCCACGAAAAGATGAAGATGTCTCCAGAGTCTTTCGTATTTTAGGATTGTTCTGTGGACGTGGATTCTTTCTAGAAGAGGAAAAGAAACAGATACAACAGTTGATTGGATATATTCCAAGAGATAGCAGGGAAGCAAAGAGAGTAAGCAACGCCTTGAAAAGATTGGTTCATGCTCGTGTGATGTATGAAAGGCACCCTCCTGTGACTCCTGAAGATTGTCAAGTTGTCTTAAAGATTTGTCAATTGTTGTGTAAAGTGGAACGCTTTGGAACTGCTGGAGAACAAGGTGATGCTTATATACAGGAGGTTCTTAAGGGCTTTCCAAGGAACGAGAATGTAGCCAAGTGGTGGTACAAAAGACTTTTAGCTGTTTACCGTGCTCATGAACGAAAAGCAGAGGCTGAAACTAGGAAGAACTACCTTGAACAAGTGAGAAATGAGAAAAAAGAAAGAAAAAAACTACTTTCCATTTTGAACAAGAGTTATCAAGTTGACAGCCATATAAAAGAGGCTGGAGATACATTTTTCTGTTAGGTTATAATGTTGATTTTCCAAAGCATCAAGTTTCTCAATTAGTTTGGTAATTATGTTTAGAAAGAATTTCAAACTCTTATTTCTCAACAGAATTTCCATTCTTTGAAAAAATGGCTTAAAGTTGTATACAGTTTGTCAATCTCTCTCTTTCTCTGTGGATTTGTTAACATAGGTGTTATGAATACAAATATTCCATTGACTTGGCTAATGAAAAGTTTATCAATACTAGTACTTCATGAATATGCTCTTGTAGAGTGTATTTCACAATTCTCAAAAGTTTCTGAAGAGGAATGATGAGGAGATTGCAATCATGGACCTTTCTTTCATAGTTGTCTGTTGTATTCAGTTCTTAGTCAACATTACAACATGTGGAATCAAGTCGAGGACGATTTTGAGCTAGTTACGCAACCAGGAAGAGTCAAGAACATAATAAACGAGACATTGGGAGTATGTGACGCCATTGCGGTGGACTGTGAAGGCGTGAATCTTAGTCGAGACGGAAAGTATGTTTGTGTAAGGTCTTACGTAAACTCAGCTTTCTCGTTACTAGGCTGTGCCTTTTACAAGTCAGTACAGGAACAAAAACTTTTATCTTTGATGTTTGTGCACTACAAAAAGAATTATTTTTGACTGGTTTCAAGGAAATCTTAGAATCTGAACGTATTCTCAAAGTGTTTCATGACTGTAGATACGACTCTGATGCTCTCTGGTGGCTTTATGGTGTAAGGTTACGTAACGTTCTTGACACCCAAGTGGCTTTCCGAATATTGAGGTATTGTTCGTAAAAATTGCTCAGGTTTCTTAACTGTCTGTTAGAGAACAGCAAGGCTATACCAGACAGTTACCAGTGAAATTCATCACTTTGCTAAGACGTTTTGTGAACCAAGAAATATCACCTCAAACATTAGAATTGAAAAGAACTGTAGGTTGGTTTGAACTACAACGCTACTTGTTTTGAAAGACTTGTTGTTAGTTCAAGAATCGTTTTTCTCAAGACAGAAATTTTTGGCTAAGAAGACCTATTCCTAAGGATGCTTTGGTTTACGCTGCATATGATGTCAAAGTAAGTGTCGATGGACGATATCACTACGTTTGTGAATCAGATATTGAATAGAAATTGTTGGAAATTGCGACCAATATCCTTCGCAATCTTTCTGAATGGAATCGGAAGAGAGTAATGGATGAAAGTGAAATATATGTGATGGCTTATCGAGATGATGAAGAAGGTGCTTTAAAGGCACGAATGGAGTTTGGACAAATCCGCACATCACTAGAAATGAAACAACATAATCTTCAACAAAATAGCAACATTTGGGACTCTTTTCTATTTGATAAGAACGCTATTCTTCGATGTTTCACTACTTGAATTATGAATAATATTCCTCGTCATATTTTATACATTGAAGACATATGTTGACGTATGGAGAATTTCTTCACTACCTTCAACATCGTTAATATATTTCTAAATTGATAAAATATTCTAAAAATCAGCGGCTCTACAGCTTTCTTCAGTATGTTCCATGGTAATATTCTTCTGCTGCAGGACAGCTTTGAATTTTTCAAGCTCCTTTCGCAACTCCATATTTTCTCGTTCAAGCAAGTTGACTTTTTGTTGGAATTCTGCATTTTCAGTTTCCAAGGCTTTCAATCTTGCCTTTGCTTGTTGCCTTGACCGTAGAGCTGCCTCCCTGTTTCGTATTGCTCTGATAGCTTTCGGGTCAAAAACATCCTTTGCTTCCTCCGTTAATGTATCTTCTTGTCTTGAACTTGCACAGGAAAAGTCTTCTGATGGACTAACATTAGAAGGCTGAGCATTGTCCACGTTCTTTGGCTTTTTCACAAATGCTGCTTGTTCCATACTCTTAAACCTATCTCTTGTTTGTTCTTTTTGCAACTGGTTCGCTGCTCTAACTTGTGCTCTAGCCAATTTCCTTCGTTCTCTCCTTTGTGAAGGAGTTTCCGCTGGTAGAGAGTTCAAAGCACCCCTATCCAATGAGCTCGTTATATCTTCCAAAGAGTCATTCAACTGTTGTCGAAAGTAGGTACCTCGCATCCGGAGAGAGTTTGTCGATCTTCCTTCTTCTGCCATTCGAAGGTAACTGGGAGCATATTGTGACATGGACGAAAACCCTCGATCCGCATATGTCGCCATCGATAACTTGGAACTGTCCTCCAATACAGTACTTCTTCTATATCTATTGGCAAGCGAAGACTCCATGTTCGCATTCCCCGCTGGAAAGGACGAGTTTACTACTGAAGAACTTGGAATAAACATGGATGGAACCATGTTATTATTACAACGAGGTTCATAATTCATCAGCAACGGTTCCGTTTTGGCAACATTGGAACATGTCGACAACGAAGGAGTTTCCAAAGAAAGCATATCACTGTTGTTGGTCATTGAATATCCTCGAGGACGAGGTTTTTTACCAACTTTCTCTGGGACAGAGCAGAAAGACTTGTTCGTCCCAAAAAGCCATCGTTTACTTCCAGACTTCCTGCTTGAGTCTTCATCATTATTGGTGCTTTTAGAATCTGCTTTACTGGACTGTTGTGCATAAGACTGTTGGAAAGCAAAAGCTGCGCCACTTGTTGCCTGTTCTGTCTGAAAAGGCAGTCGTGACTCTGAAATTGCCGCCAAAGTGTTTATCGGGTTTTCGTTCTCCTCTTCAGTAGACAAGTTACAACTTTCTATATTATGGTCCCTTGGAAAATGATAGCTTTCCTCTTGTTGTTCTTGTTGCTGTATGTAATGAGGAGTCCCTGTCAATGAATTGGGCGTCGAAACGTGAGTAGAAGCCATATCACCCAACACCCCTTCATGAGTTTGGTAAAAGTGTTTCGTAGGAGTTTCAACAAATATAGAAGGAGAAACGATAAAAGCATTGTCGGGTATACCTCCATAATTGACCCAAGCTGGTGATAATATTGAACCTGGAGGCCAAGAAGTTATTGCCGAGGACTGGTTGCTACCGAAAAGAAAGCTTCCAGCGTTCGGCAAAACATTCTGCAGAGGCAAAGGATCAACCCTAGCTTTTACTCTGGAGCTGAGTGAACTCGAGGCACCAGCTTGATGCTCCGGTAAGTCCCTTGCGGAGTCCGTTTTTTTACGGTAAAATAAGAAACTCCAAAACTTGCATATACAGATAGTTAGTTGGGCAAAGTGTAGTTGCCAACTATAGCTCCAAAGTAAACGCTTTCCTCAGTGATGGCAACCACAATATAAAAGGCAACTTTTTACTACCAACGTCTGTCGTCTTAAAAGGAATCGCAAATCAAAATTCTTATCTCGATTCCACGTGGCGTCTCGAGCGAAGTCGTCTTGTTGGCTTCCTGTTCAATTTTCCTTTTGAAGACATTTTGTTGAGACTTGTTGGATTCCCTTGAGACAATTTTCTTAGAACACTTCTTATTTATTGCACGATATAAACTCGTATCAATCAAATCTACTGTGACTACACAGAGTCTTTCTTATAAACAACTAGAAAGGTCACAAAAGCTATTTCTATATAATATCTTTTTCTATAACGAAGAAAAACAATCTATTCCACTAATTCAAACCCGAGGACTGAATATACCAATCATAAACATTGAAAGTGATAAGAATGGCAGGACCTATAAACATGCCAAACCAGAAGAAGGTATTTACTATTCTTTTCCGGACTAGAGAATCTTTTCTCATAATCAGCTTCATACCAAACATTAATGGAACTGTAAAAAAAGGTCAGGGAATAAAACTTGCATCCAGAAACTACCAACTTTGTAACATCATCATCATTGTCATATATAAACGAAACTTGCCAAAAGTTATAGCCAAGATTATTTCATGAAATATAGCCGAGAACAATGTAGTGTAAGCAATGCCTCCCATTCGAGAGAATCCCTAAGAGATTTGAGTTGTTAACATCATAACTCTCTATTACATACTCGAATGCGCGCTCGTTTATAGACATGTTGAGCAAGCCATTCGTGGACAGGTCTATTCCATTTACGTGAAAACTCATCGTAAGATAGGGAGTTCCACCAATCTTCGTAAAAATAATGATCTGCGAAGAAGGTAACTTCTGCAAAAATGTTCAGTGCAACCTTGCTGATAATGTCAAATATTCCGGTATGGAAAGATAGGAACAAAAATACCTCAAAGGTGATAAAAAATAGTGCCAAATAGAGACTACCAGCGGGTAATGTCAACAGAACGATAGACTCTAATAAGCTTAGCTTTCCAGCTTTATAAAAAACTGGAAGCATTTGTTCGGTTATGATAAGATAAATAACAGCAAGGAGACCCAGACCACGAAGAATCTGCATTAGAAGGAAGCCTATCCTTATTTCTTCAAGTCTCTTGTTCATTTCTTACAGGAACAACATGAAATTACACTTACTGTCACTTTTAGGATATCCTTTTGTCCGATATACTAAAGTCGGCGCCAAAATAAAATAAGAAAAGTTCCTTAGATTCAACAATTCCTCTTTTGCTGTTCCATCTTCTTCTGCACTTGCAATAACTGAGTAGAAAGAGAATGACTTGAGAAAGAAACTGTGAGCCTAGTAGAGTTTGTACAAAAGTAGTTGTAAACTGAACCAAAACCAATACCTGCAACACCAGGAAGAACGAAGGAACAGGAGAGAGTCCTCTGAAAGATATCCACTTGAAGGGTAATATAAGCATTAAAAGAGACATGAGACGAAACAACACGTCGGCAAGTCGAACATGTAAGACACCCTTTGCGTTGAGCCAATGCAACAGATAGAAAAGGTAACAACTCCACATCATGAAGACAAACATAATTAGTGTTCCACGATAGCCTTCCAAAGACCATTCTAAGAAACCCAGATCCACAGGAGATTGACCTCGAAGCAGTCGAAGAACGGGAATCCGCAATAAAGCTAATGCGACAATAAGCCAAAGAAGGTTCTGAATTCCAAACAACGTATCGAAAGCTTCTTGACAAGGTATTTGTTGGTTTCGAAGTTGGTCTAATAACGTGTCTCTTGCAATATACGACGTAGCTCGCTTGTGTGTACTCTTTGTCTCATTTTCTACCAACATTTCGCAAATCCTTCTGAGCACGTGTCTGTCTGAGCTTTTCGTGTGGGAAAGAAGAATGGCCTGAGTTGTAAGAAATTTTGTATAGGTTTATTTTGATCTCGAAAATTTTGGCTTTGTTAGATATATAAGTTGCAATTGTCAACTATTGAAATAGTACGAGTATTGCATGTGTTGTGTAAATCAGAATTCGTACTAGACAAAGTATAAGATTTCATTATCTAAGAGCCTTTATAAAAGAGTTCTTTGGAATATAAAAAGTAGACCTTGTTACCTACCAAGGCTGTACGTTGAAAAGTAGTACTGCACACAGAGCGACTGAGAATCTCAAAGGAACACTAAAATTCTCTTTGGAAGAAGAAATCGAAAGAGTTGATTGCTGATTGGGGGGACGGATTGAGACGCCCGCTCTTCTCTTGGTTGAGTATCACAAAAGGAACCCTAAGAAAATAGAATTGGAGAGAGAGAGTAAAGCTTGAACAGAGATATTCAATCATTTGAGGAAAATTCCCAGGTAATAACGTGAAAACAAGAGTTTCCCGACAGTCGACTTGGGAAAGAAACGTGAGTTGAGAACGATTCGTGAAAGAGTCAGCCACCGTTGAAAGTTGGCGTTTTTTGAAAAAAAGTTGCGATATATTGAAAGTTGGATACAACCCAAGTTTCATTATGAGATCAGGAACCACTCTCAGCTCCTTGCATAATAGTCATACTGAGGATGCTACGTCTTTGAGGGCTTCTAGCTATGCTGGAAATATCCCCATGCCAACACCGTTTCTCTCTAAACTTTACGAGCTTGTTGATGACCCTAATACAACAAACCTTGTGTCTTGGATGGATTCTGGAGACTCATTTATGGTTCATCGACCGAACGAATTTGCCCGAGAGATTTTGCCACGATATTTTAAGCACAATAACTTTTCGTCATTCGTAAGGCAACTAAACCAGTATGGGTTTCACAAGTTGGATCCAGATAGATGGGTTTTTGGGCACGCCAATTTTGTTAGGGGAAGAAAGGACTTGTTATTAAAGATTAGTCGCAAGAAAAGCCACGTTGCACCGGAGGGATATCACAAAGTGAAAGGCACAACTAGTAATACAACCAGTGAAACTGTCTCTCATAGAATGGGTGTTACGGATATCGAGAGAAGTCAACCTGTGATAGAATTGGGGAATTATGGCAACAGTAACGTTTTAGAAATATTGAAACGAGATAAAAACGCTTTGTATCAAGAGTTTATGTTATCTAGACAACGAGAAGAAGAGCTACGTCAACGTTGCATTGCAAACGAACGCAGAATTTACAAGCTGGAAAATCAAATGGAACAAGTGAGACAATTTTTTGTTTCCTATTTTGAACCTATCTTGCAGTATTATTCATTATCAAGGTGAGCTTTCCTAATAGATTTCAGTATTCAATTTTTTATTTTATTGGTAGGAAACGCAAACGTCTTCCGGCACCTGAAAATGCAGAAAATACGGATTCGAAACAAACCAATGGGTTCGATTATTCACATTCAGATGGAGAAGATTATATTGCAAAGGATCAGTTGGGAGACACACAAGCCTCAGTACTGAGAGAGGCTTCACAAAAATTACTTTTGGATCTCTTTCGTTTGAAAAGGTCAAACTCACCTTCATTTCCTCCAGCATCGGTTCAAGAACTCAGAGACTCTAATAGAAGAGAACACGCAGATATGGAAAGCAGGGCACAACGACTTTTTCAAGGAGGAGAAAATATATCAAAGCCGCCAAGTTTTGTAGTTGAAGAAGGTGGTCCTGATGAGGAAAGGACGAGTCAGACTCGTAGTTACAGCTTTAGTGACTCTAGAAACCAAGAAGCAGATACAGAATTATGGTCACGAGGAAACTTTTTGTATGATTATGGAGATTCAGTCGCTCAGACACAAGAGGAACATTTGTTCTCAGATATGACTCCCCTGCAAGTGGAGGATGAATTGCATTCGTCAACTCAAAGTAATCCAATTGCAATGAGTGGTCAACAACCATTAGAGAAGAACAAGTTTGCTTATTTGCCGATCAACTATAACGGAAACGAAGAAATGAACGCCGCTGATGTTCGTCTTCAGTCATCCTTGAATCGAATCTTTTCAAAAGATAAACAGGAGGAAGACTCTTATGGAATGTTCGAGATGGACGATATGATACGTGAGTTTCCATATCGTGATGGTTCGGTTTCTTTGGATGAGATTGGAGATATAGCTTCATTACTAGAGGGTGAAGAGGTCAATTATGAAAGGTTGGAGCGTTGAAGATTATTTGTAGTTGTGGTCCCAACTTTCATTTTGTTGTAAGTAACTTTTATGTAAAAAGAGCATGAGAGAAAGAAAATAATTTGGACACAAGTAGAGTTGCTATTCACTAGCGCTAACAGCACATAGTAGTAAAGTTGGACACTTTCCATCTCACTCTATTCATCTTCTTCCAATTGTCGTATTATTTCTTCAGCATTTGTATTTTCTGACAAAGTTTTGTTGTTCTCTCCATACAACTCAGTTATAACTTCATTTCTTTCATTTTCTTCTTTCTCCGTAAAAGGACGTCTATGAACCCACAAAATAGGCTGTCCAGGCTGAGAGGTTTCTTGACGACGTATCCGTCTATATAAAAAAAGTTTACTAGTAACAGGAAAGTAGCGAACTACTTGATCATCTTGTAGGAAAACGAAACTTCTATTGCCCTCTTCTGGTCTCGTTACAAAAGTATACTCCCTTAATAACTCATAGTCTTCTATGGTATTATTCTTCTTCATGGTTTCTTCCCAATGTTGTGATTTTCTATTTTCGATAGTATTTTCTGTGGGTATATAATACGACAGAAAACGTTCTCCGCTTTGGTTAGTAAAAGCAACGGTTAAGGCGTTTTCTATAAACTCTTCCACAATACGTTGAGTATCTTGATGACTTTCTATTTCTTCAGAAGGATTCGAGTCAAACTGTAAAACAACAAACTTGTCTGGCCAATTTTCAAAATCTGGAAACACTGGAAGGACTTGCACAGGTTTTAAATGACGTTTGCGAGGATCGGGATGTACAGGAACTTGCTTTGCAGCCTCAAACTCGTCTTGTATCGTCTCCGATAGTGAACGCTGCTGCTTTAAAGAAGAACTTCCATCTGAATTGGGATACTGCGATATATTCTTATTTGCCCTTAGTTCAGAAAACTCGTCATATCCAGTTCGTCTCATCCAGGAAGGAACCGAAAACTTTCGTTTACTTTCCTGAGAGTTTTCTACTTGAGCAAGTATTTCCTCTTCTTCTGCAGTTAAAGGTTCCCCTTCTCCAAGTTGTTGTTCCTCTTCTGGTGTTACCCAATCAACCCATATACCCAAGGCTGGTCCCGTTTCCAACTTGGGTTTGTAGCTGCTTTCCAAAGAAGAAATACGATACTTTGCATATTGAGAAGTTTCTACTTCCAGATTATACATTTTGGGAAGAAATGGTGGTTCGGGAAGGTTATTCATATAACGAGGTTTGCAAAGAAATACACTTGGTGGCTTCTCCGTTGTTCCACTTGTAGCCGTCCTTCGTGAGGAAACACGTGTGCTATGATGGGCTTTCGTTGTTCCAGCCTCACGAGTGTCTGTATTTCTATGAAGTTGGTGTTGATGAGATGAAGCACTACTACTCATGATGGTATGGAATGGCTTGATAAGAAAGTAAGTGGATGATTCATTCAAGTGGCCAATGAGATACAGAAATCAAGCAATCCAATATTGGAATCCTATTTATATTTTAAGCTACACTTGCTTCGTTTCCTGTCGATAAAACAGCCTGAAATGACACATATAACTTATTCAAAAGTTCCTTTCGAAATCTTATCCCCAAGGAAAGAAAAGTATCTATATAAGATGAAACATTTGACTTGAGTTGTTCCAACGCATTAGAAGATAGCCTTCTCAACCGTAGAAATTCCTGCCAGAATCTTGTCGCACGTTGTACTATACAAACAATCAATACCTGATCTTCAAATAGAGGAGTTTCAAACTCCACAGGTCTGTTGGAAACAAATAGAGTATCAAAATGTTCCCAAGAAAGTGTACGATTAGGATATGCACTTGACTCCGAAATGCGACGAGGACGATTCCATTTCGATCCATCTTCCATCAAAACTTCATGTATTTCTTGAGAGATATCCGTAATTTGTTGCACTACTTTGGCAACATGAACGGATGAAGAATGACCGTTGTCTTCATCCAAATAACAGGCAGAACAACTACAAAACTCAACCTGTAACAAGAAACTTCGCCATAACACATATTCTTCTAATAAATTATCCCCACAAGCAATAATCTCATCACCATCATCAAAAAGAGAAGGATTCAGACAATGAAGAAAATAAGACAAAGACAACATTTGACTGGGATGCTTACATTCATATCTCGAACAATACAGAACTGCTTGTAGAAAACAATTTTTGGTTATTTGCGACAAAGTTATGAGAGACAATTGTAAACTTTCCCTCCATTGCTCTAAATGACCCAATAAAAAACTACTGCGCTCAAATATCTCTTTCAATTCCTTCTCTAAAGATGAACGAGAGATCTGCCAATTTACTATCTTTCTTTCCAAAGCAAGGCTCCTATTCAATAGTCGAACAAGTGAGTTATAACTTGCAGCTGTTACAAAATGCTTCCACTTGAAAAGAAGTGCTTCAAGTGTTTGATACAATGACTCTTTAACAGGCAGATTGGAATCATTCAAAGCGACTCTAATATCTTCCATAATTTTGAAAAACTTCGTAGTCTCCTCTTCTTCTTCTTCTTCCAACAAAATAACATCTTCATTTGTAATATCTTGCAAATATTCATCTCTAAAGAGTATTAGTTGATCATTGACTATATCTGATAACTTGGAAATAGTCTCATCTTCTGCACAAGAAGATGCTATTTTGAACAGATCAACAGATATTGGCATAAATGAATTTTTCAACCATAACACACAACAAGTAAAATATTTCCAAACTTCAAGTTGTTCTTCACTCCCTAAACAAGAAGAAAGACTTGATGAAAGCTTCTTTCGTGCATGACGTAACAAAATGTCTCGTATCACACTTTGCGATTCATCAAACATAATCAACGAATCGAGTGTATTTCTAAAAGACATTCCATCATCCTGTTCCGAGTGCTCTTCTGCTTCAAGTTTCTGCAACAAATCATGGCGAATTTCATAACTGCAGACCTGAAGATCCCGTAACAATGCAGTTACGTACGTACTTTTGGAAGAGATGCGAGCAAGAATTGAGGTGACTGAGTGAAAGAGAAGTGCAACTTGGTTCGTGTTACCCTTTTGATGCATCGTCAACATATTTTCTTTCAGCTCCTCTGCAACCCTTAAAGTCTTCAACAACTTGCTCCAAGACTCCAATATCTGGACCTCCGTTCTACCCTTCGAAAGACTTTTGTTGACCTGTTGATTTCCATCTTCCACTGAAACAATCTTTTCCAGAGCATCCTAGTAACATGAGAATCTAAAAGGACCTACAATGGACTGTACGTACCTCTAAAGTGTGTTCCAAATAGGGTGCCTCTTCTGTCATTTGACTTATTGTACTTGCTGTTTCCTCCAATTTCTGATAACTGTTGTACAACAAATGTTCCAATTTCACGTTCAATTCTTCTGTTTCTGCTTTCAGCTCAAAAGTTTTTTTCATCAAATGGCTTAAATTTAAAGTTCTTAAAAGCGTTTCAGCTTCCGTGTTTTGGGTTTGAAGAGTGGGATGCTGTGTTTCCGCATCTGTTGAGCTTCTTCTTTCATCAATAACTGAAGATTTTTCTAGCCATTCTGAAGGAGTTTCTTCTATTCCATAATAAGAACTAAGAAGGTTACGTAGAGCTTTTCTTGAAGCCTCCACATCATCGGTGGATGTCATTTCCATTAAAGATCCAAAAAGTGATGAGTATTCGTCGCAAAAGAAAAGTTTTTTCAGATAAACGAGAAATTGAAGTTATTTGTCAAAGCTTTGCACCTTTAGCAGCTCATTCGTTTTTTGATTATTTGCGGCGCTCAAAGCAACTTGCCTTTGTATGGTTACTTTTGAAAGAGAACCCGTCTCGAAATAAGGAAGAGTTAGTGGAACGTATTCTACAAGTCAAAGATTTGCATCGCAAAAGTAATCAAACACTGTAGGTTATTTCACTGAATTTGTTAAACTTGTTGCTAAGCTTTGAAAGGCGTGAAAACATTCAGAAAAATATACAAAGAGTAGCCAATTGGTTCATACTCGTCAGTCGTATAAAATATTGGAAAGAAACGAGATTTAGCAAAGATAACGAAGAACATAAGGCAATATTGGAAGAGGTTAGTGAAATCTTATTTAGGTTGTCTAACTCTTACTTGTTCCATACAAGCTTTGGGACACTTTGACCAAGAATCAGGAACATTTATGGAAAGATTGGACAGACATAGGTTTCCAAGGAAAGGACCCAAGTACGGACTTTCGAGGAGCTGGCTTATTATCTCTCTTACAACTGGTTTACTTTGCCAAGAAATACTTTTCACTTTGTCAAAGAGTATTGTACAACTGCAATACAACAGAGCCAAAGTAAGCCAATCCAGTAATTGGCAGCATTTCTTCTCACTGTTGTAGGTATCCATTCGCCTGTACCGGTATTTACTGTACAGAAGCGCTCACAAACTTGTTAGAACAAGGAATATTACTTCCATTAGGAGAACGGCAAAGTGACGAAGATGATGACTCTTTGGAAACTTTTCATGAAGAGTATGTCCGGTTGTTTCTACTCTTTCATCACAACTGGCACACAGGTAACCCTCAAAACCTTTTGGAGTTCGGGAAATATATGAACAAGACGATTCAACAAGCAAAAGATAGATTGCGCCAACAAGGAACTATTCTTACTACCGAAGAACTGCTGAAAACTCAAAATACTCTAGTTTAGCTTCCACAAACACGACTTGCTCTATGAAGCACTTGGACACTCTGTCTTCACATCATTCAACTCCGAAGACATAAAACTTGCCTTTTTTGAAAACGAGCAGTTGGCAAGTAAGAATAATACGATGCATACCGCAACTATCGTTACCTAAAGATAACTGATCAGTCGGTTTTCAAAGGACATAAAACCCCAAACATACAAGACGTGAAAGCGTTCCTAAAAGAAATAGACTTTTCCACCAAAAGTAAAAGAAAAAGATAAAACACAGAACACATAAAACAGCAACTTTCCAACAGCGTGTCCAATGATGTGCCTCTACAAGACTATCTTCTTCTGCTATAGGCGGTAACCACCAATCCCAACAAAGGAACCGAGGTCTCAAGAGTGATGAGACCTGTGTAAGTCCTCCAATGGAATCAACTAGACCACTTCTTAACATAGACATGCTCTCTTCTGAACTTTTATCTTCCGCAACGTCACGTTGAAAGTCGGTCTTGAATCGTACAAAAGCACACATTCCTCCGTTTTGAATTTCGCGAATATCTCAAATGAACCATTTTCATCTAGTTTTTATTCAAGTCATAAAGAATCTTAGTCACTAAATACTTCTGGAGCGTGCTCAGGTTCGAAAGCCTTGTGCAATGCTACAAAAGAATGAAACTGACACTTAATATGGAAAGTGTCTCTAGATTCTGGGCGTTGACAAGCAGAATTAGGTAACGTCAATACGGGAGAAAGCTCAGGAATATCCACATTCACCAACTCAAGTGAACGACAAACTTGGAAAGTGGAACGAAGGATCTTGTGAAGTTCTTCAAAGTTGGTAATCATGTCGTCCTGCTCACTTCTTGAGATTTGCACTAACTCTGTAGGCATCTTTAACAACTTGCTGAATAAATAAACACATATTACATGGAGACCCTTGGCTTCTTCAATACAAGGAAGAATACAGACTTCCACTGCTGGACCCAAATGGCGTCGTTCCATAAGATTCTTCAAAACCCGAATAATACCCTCCAACAGGAATAACAACCTCGATGCTGTAGAATAACTGATAACCTAAAGTCATATCAGAATAATAATACTTTGCATTCAAAACAATATCTACTACAACCTTTAAATAACGCTGATTGTTATGTGCACTTTGAACCTGATCTACTTGCTCGATTTCCAACCGGCGAAAAAAACGGTCCAAAGAATAGTTAGTCTCAAACTCTGTAAACTCTAAATGAAAACGATATTTGTCCAATATGAACGATGAATAACGACTGCAAATACTTCTTGCTGGATGAACTGCAAGACTTTCATTTCTAGGCTTTGCCCAGTTCTTCGAAATGGTGTCCAAAAGAGGCAAACTGTCGTGTCTACCTTGCCAAAGAGAATCGATCGGTCCCTCTAAGGACAAACGATGAATCAAATATAAACACTTCAAAGTCATTGCTGCATCATTCACAACTGGTCGACTAGAAAGAATAAAAAGTATATCCATCACATAAACTTTTCCCTCATTACAAAGTTCAACCAATTTGGTACATGTCATGCTCGGATTCCCACTAAGTCGACGATCAACAGCACGATCAACAATGGCACTCAACTCATTACGAGTCAAACAATTATCTTTCCGAAGATCTTGCCAAATTTTCCATTCTGTTTCCACAAAGGGAATTGACACCGAATGTTTCGGAGGAGAAGATACAGAAGAGGCAAAAATATCATTACAAGGAAAGAAAACCTTATTCTCAGTAGCACTTGGTAAAGAGCTATTGCTTCTTCCATCATCTTCCGAAGATGCGCGGGATCTTGTTTCTGCAGTAGCTTCACTTTGTGGAGAAAACAGTACTGCGTCATGAAAAGAAGCAAACTTGTTTTCTCTTGAGACATTCGAAACTGACTCTTGGTGAATACTGGTTGACTCCTCCGACGAACTAGTGTATGGACTAGGAACAATATCATCGTTACCAACTTCCGAGTTCGTAGAACGAATAGTTTGACTCTGACCCAAAAAAGAGGGAAAACTTGTTGTTGTTGCTTGAGTCCAAAATTGGTTTCCTTCCCTAGCAGGTGTTCCTGGAGTAGAACAACTTTTTGAAAGATTGCCTTCTTCTGGAGATTGCCTGCTGTTCTTTGGCAGCAACAATGTTGAAGGTAAAGGAGGATTGGGCTGCAGAGGAGCTGGAAACCTAGTTTTCATAGGTGTCTTTGCTCCAATACTTTCTCTTTTGCCGACTTTCCCTGCAGAAGCAAAGGAAGAGAAACCGTCGTCTGTTCGAGTAAATAGTTCCATATCTTTGTCTTCTTTAGTAAAGTCAGTGTCAATGCTAAGTTTCTTCACCGACTGATTCAAATGCGTCACAAAAGGAGGGCCTTCTTTTTGATAACTAGAATAAGTGTCAACATTTGCAGCATCCAAGTGAAGGGTTGTTCGCTTCTTTGAGCTACTATTATCACAACCAGGGATGCTGAAGCCTTCCAACTCATCTATTAGTTCACTTTGGTATTGTGACGAGCGTTGTGGCGCTCTCCAACCCCTTGAGCTGTAGTTTGTACCTGAACAAGAAGCGTTGTTTTCTTGTTGTCTCCCGTAGGACATGTTCTCGAACAACAGTTTACCTTAAACACTGTCCAATATTCAAGAATATACAGACTCGAGTATTTCTTTAACGGCGTAAATAGTTTATGAAAGTACAACAGCCATAATCTTTGTCCCGCTCTATTCTAAAATCATGAGAAATTCTTTGTCAATGAAAAAGAATGGAAAATGGTATTGTCAATACTAAAGTTCCACAAAATAAATGAAGCAAGTGATAGTAGATTTGGAATAACAAAAGCTAGTATTCATGGAAAGAATGTTTAGTTATTCTTTACTGACCCAAAAAGGAACTCCAATTGTCTCTCTTCAAGGTGCTTGAAAAGCATCGTCCATTTGATTTATTTTTTGAAATTTGCGCCAATGAATTTCTCCAACACTTTCACCCGTAGAGGACCCACAAAGTTATCACCTTGTGGCACAAAAATCGCCAGTATCTATGATAATCAACTAGTTATATATAACAGTGTTGAGTTCAAAAACTTACAGGTACTTTGTTCCATCTCTAAGAATTCGTTTCTTTAACCAAACCAATTTCAAGCAATGTAGTTTTCGGGAAACTATTACGTCACTCAAGTGGGCTCCAAACTCTCAACTTCTACTCCTATTACCAAAGAGTAAAACATACATTCTAGTAAAAGAAGCTCTAACCGAAAGAAAAGCAGTCAAGATACAACTCTCTCCACTGGTTCGTGCTACTCCTTTTCGTATTATGCCGGTCCTTACTCTTGTTCCGATAGGGTTGCACAGATGCAGACTTTTGCCCAGACTCTTCACATATTGTGGTAACACTGGACTTTAATTTGTCCATAATCTTCTTCTCCATAACAGGACAGTGGATGGGTAAGATAGAAGATATAGAAATGCCAATTCTTAAACGAAACGCGTATTCTTATGATGGTCGATATTATGCTCTGATTCGAAAGAAGAATGGCAGTTACTTTGTCAGTATTGTATGTATGGAAAATGTGTCGATATTGTTGAGCTTTCCAGTCTCTCTTCTGGATGTCACAGGTCTCTCTTGGTGCCCCAACGAATATACTATCATGATTCATTCTTCTTCGCTGTACAACCAACTTCAAGTTGTGTTGCCACAAGGAAAAGTCCTATTCTACTATCAGCCGTATACAGCAGCACTTGGCATGCGCGAAGCATTATGGTCTCCAACGGGAAATCTGTTAGCCATCGCAAGTTTCGATCAAGTTGTGCGTATTGTCAACACAGTTGTATCTAAAATGATAGCTGAATTTGAGCATACGGATATGATATATCCTCAACCGAACCAAAGTATCTTTATAGAAAGGCAAATCTCAACAACGCCCATCCATAATGACAAAGGAAATATTGGAAAACAAAAAATTCTAATGCAGCCAAACTCTCATAGACTTGATCATCATTTTGTTATGGAGACCGAACCAGTAAAATTAAAATATCGTCCAGCTGATATGACTAAACCCAATCCAAGGCAAGGAATTTCTCAAATCAAATGGAGCTTCGACGGAAAATATTTAGCTTCTTGCAATGAAAATACTCCTCATGTCTTATGGATCTGGAATATCCTTGAAATGGAACTTGAAGCCGTTTTCATTTGTAAGGCAAACATAAAGGTGATACATTGGAATCCATGTTGTACACAACTTGCTTTTGTAACAGGTTCCGAATATTTATTTCTATGGAATTCAAAAGGTCAGTCATTCTATTGTCAACAACAACCTTGTATTAAGGGATCCTTCTTCATATAGATGCTGTAAGTGTTCCATTACCGTTCTCTGGATTCCAAGCTCAGTCTTGTGCTTGGCCTTTGGAAGAGAAAGGACCACTTTTACTTACAGATAAGAGTCAATTCTGTATTGTGATGAATGAATGAAGACATGATTCAGCACTAACGTACAAGAAGTCAAGGTTCCTCTCTCTCTTGTTTACACTTTCGAGTCGCTTCTACAAGTAATATGAAAACCATGATTGAGTGGTCCATGTCCACTTCCTATACGGTAACTGTGTTCCATACAACCAAAAACATATTCCTTTGCATTTGCAACAGCGTCTCTCAAAGCAAATCCTTTTGCAAGATATGCACAAATAGCCGAAGCAGTAGTACAACCAGTTCCATGAGTATTCAAAGTGTGCAAACGTGGTCTCGCATAAACTTCAAACCCTTGGGAATCCAACAAAATATCTATACAAGAATCGTCAAGTTCTGAGCTTGCAATGTTATGACCACCCTTGATCAACACAGCTTTTGCACCGAAGCCTAATAGTTCCTTTGCTGCTTCCCGAACATCTTGCAAAGATTCCACTTCTCTTCCAATCAAGGCACATACCTCAGGTATGTTGGGGGTGATCAACGTGGCAAGTGGAAACAAATCTTTTTTTAAAGTTTCCAAGGCATCTTCTGTTAACAAATATTGACCACCTTTTGCCTAAAAACTAAAAATCTCAAAACTACGACGAACCCAAAACGTAGCTTACCACAAGAACAGGATCGACAACAAGTTGTCCAAAAGAATATTGTTTCAAAGCTAAAACAAGTTCTTGAATTGTATCCGCACTATATAACATACCAGTTTTTACTGCCGTGATTGGAATATCTGACAATATCGACTCTAACTGCTGCCTAACAAACCAAGGCTCTATCGGGTATATCCCTTGAACACCCAAAGTATTTTGTGCAGTAACTGCAGTAACTACACTAGTTCCGTAAACGCCTAAAGCTAACAAAGTCTTCAAGTCCGCTTGAATACCTGCTCCAGCACAAGAGTCAGAACCTGCCACTATTAGTGCACAAGGCGGACTGTAACCCTCTTTTAAACAAGTTTTCATGAATTCTTCATCACTTCAGGTTGAATCGTTAACGAAATCGTTTCACTTCTCTCGCCTCGAATAATTTTCACTTGAATTGGCTTATCAACTCGATAACCTAAAATATCTAAAAACTCTCGTGTTGACTTGACTGGCTTTCCATCAAACTCAACTATGACATCTCCCGCTCGCAAACCACCACGGTCTGCAGGTGAACCTGGCAAAACCTGAGGTACCAGTACGCCATAATTGACACCATTTGGAAAATGAGGATCCCTTTCTTTCAATTCCTCCAATACCCGAGGACTCAAAGTCAATAGTTTAATACCCTATCTAGTAAGCAAAAAGTTTTCAACGAAACAAAACTACCTCTTACCAAATAAGGACGTTTCACAAATCCATGCAGTTTTAACTGCTCTACTACTTCCTTTACCAAATCAATTGGTAGAGCAAAACTAATGCCATCTGAACGAAGTGCTTTCATCGTGTTGATACCGACAACTTCTCCATCTAAGTTCACCAAGGGACCTCCAGAATTGCCGACATTGATTGCTGCATCAGTTTGAATGAAGGCAAGTTTCGAAGACCCTGGAAATCCCAACTCATAAGACTCTCTTTGGACCGCACTAACAATACCCGATGTAACCGAATTCGCCAACATTAAAGGACTTCCTAAAGCAATGACCCACTCTCCGGGACGAAGATTGCGAGACTTTCCCAATTTGGCACAAGGCAATGGTTGACCAGCATCTATCTACAATATATATATATATATATATATATATATATTATGTTACATATGAACTACGGTAGGAGAGATATTTTCATATGATAGCTTACCTTTATGATAGCTAAATCTGATAAGGTATCATGGCTATGAAGTTTTCCAGGAAACGCTCTTCCATCTTGTAAAGTGACAGTTACTTGACCAGTGTAGTGCGATGCTTCGGAAACGACGTGGGCATTAGTAAGAATGAAGCCTTGAGGGTCAATAATAAAACCTGAACCGGAAGACTGTTGAACTTCTCGAGGACCGATAGGCCCCAGCCAAGGACTAGGTGGTCCTTCGGAAGTCACTGTTATATTGACTACTGCCGGTGCAACTTTAGCTACTGCATCTGCTATTGCATAGCGATTCATCACACCTCCTTCCGCACTGCCCGATGCCTGATCACCCTCAAAGCTGCCAAGCTTTATCATCTTGGAATTGTTATCGCCATTCAAAGTGCACATTTGCACTACGTCGCTGTTGTCGATTCGATATTTAGAATTCTCGTCGCCATAAAGACAGTAATAAGAAACTATGCTTCCCAGTGCGCCAACCACGGTACCAGTTACAAAATAAAAACCATACTTTAAAGAAGTTGAAAAACGTTGGGAAGTCCTATAAAAACGATCATAGTTCCTGACTTTATCAACACTCTTAGTCGTTTTGATAAAAGTTGCCAGACTCCGCAGCAAAGCATATCGTTGCATCTTCACAAATTACTCTCAAAATTCAATCTTGGCATATTTAAGTGGAGAAAAAGGAATTCGTCTGTATTTGCGTTCATATGACAGAACAAATAGAGCATTGGTTGAAAGGTCTTGAGAAACAACTTGAGGCAGCAAAGGCTTGCAGTGACAAACATCAAGCGGAAGAAAAAGCGCAAGACGTGTTGAAGAAAAGTTCTCAGGTGTCGAGACTGTTGGTATCTGTTTTACCTGAGGAAGTTAGACATTATTGGGTGGGAGAACTAGAACGGATGGAAGAGAGTGTGACTCAGAATGGAGGTAAGAGAGGCTACGTTGACTGCTTCTTTGTGTTGAGAGTTTGTCCGAGTTTGTTGCTCCTGTTGTGGAAGGAAGTTACTGCAAGATGAAGGAATACTATGCTCACTTGGATGTCGAGAAAAATTCTGCAACAAAACTTGTTTGAAAAGAGGTCTTCAAGAACATAGAAAAAGATGTTTAGGGGACAAGAAACGAAAATTACGTCGATTACTTGAGCAAAATGGAATAGAATGGTAAAAACAAAACATAAGTTCCATACGGAAACCGGAAGTTATCATTAGGCTTCTAAACAAGGTCTTTGCGTCTGTACCAATCGTGCCGGATTCACTTTTAGGAAACTCGCGTAAGAACCATAAAGGTTCAACTGTAGTGGACCACCTCCTATAAAAAGATTCTGTCCATCTTCAGTGTAACTACAAAATAGTCATTATCAAGCTATTCTAAACGTTCAAGAGTCACATACCTCATACAGTATACAGCCGGATTATAGTCCTCAATGAGATGAGGTCCAGGACTATCAGTCTGATTTTCTTGACGAACCCAGCCACGACCTAGTCGAAGTCCACGATGACCATTCCGAACCAGACTCTCACTATCCTTACGTAAGTCATAAAAAAAGAGTCTTCCTGTTCCGAATCCAATGGTCAACATATGATAACGGACTATGAGACTTCGTATATGTGAAGCATGCAAATTACTTATGAAATACAAGGCCTTTTGAATTCTTCCTGCTCGAGGATCTACCATGTACAAACGAACATGACTTCCCACAAAGTATACATTTCTTTCTGGATAATATGCCAAAGTAACTGCATCACGAGAAGATGAAAGAGGAACGGTACTAATAGACTTCCTCTGTTCCACATCCCAAACTTGAAACTCACCATCCTCTTCATTCGAGAGAGACAGGATACCAAACTGCTTATGAAAAGGGTCACTCTTAATCTCTCGGATTCTACGTTCACTCCCATGATCTACCAATTTTGAAATACTTTTGAAAATTGGAACCTCTTCTCTCTCATATGAAGGATTTCTTTCAAGCAGTATGTTGTCGACGACACTTTCATTTGGCTCCGTGTTCCACGCATAAACTTTACCATCTCTTCCTGCAGTCGCAAACACACTGTCATTTAGCCAATCTGCAGCAAAAATCCAATCAGAATGTTCCGAAAAACCGGCCAATGGCTTAGGACATTTCGTACTGGAAAGAAAACTTTTAGCGTCCCATAACAACATTTGATGAGAAGAACATCCGCTGGTAACTACTGTTCCATTTAACGGATGAAATAATACCACTCGAATACCGCCATGACAAGGATACGAAACGCTTCGATCAGATAAGGTTATTGGTGTTACGGAAATTGAAGGAGGCGAAAATACGTTCATTCTTAGTTGAGAAGAGTCTATGACTAGTAGTTTATGATTTTTCGTCCCAGCCAAAATATATCGTTGTGTCTCGTTCTGACTGTGACACAACGGAAGCCAACCACAGGAAAAAACCTTATCTAGAGAAAGACTTGCCACGTCCAATTCTATTTCATCACTCAAGAAAGGAAAACGCTCAGACAAACGTTCACAACGATAATTAGAAATAAAAAAACTCCTCCAACTCTGATTTCTTTTGGCTATTTATGAAATAGAACAATAGACATAAACCTATACGAACCTCTTCGAATTAACATAACAAGGCCAGCGAGTAAAGGCTAGTTTTCTCCAAAGGTTATCCTCCACATGTGTTGCCTCTCTCCATTTCCTACACACAAGGGAACACTCCGGTATTCCTTCTGGAGGTAGATACGAAAAAATGTTTGCCAACAATTCTTGTGGCAAACAGTTAATACCCTTTCTTGAGTCAAGACTACTCTCAACAGCCGATGTTTCTTCTACTGTTGTCTGTACAGAATCTCCTCTTTATGAAATATTTTGAGAAGTGGATGGAATAAAAATTGAAATATCGTACCTCTTCCTCTTTTTAGGCGAGCCTACACTAAAAGGTTTCATACCAATCCTCGTTTCATTTCGACACGAATCTTCGAAATGTCTTCCAGACCAACTCATTCCATTTGTCCATTGTTTGAATGACTTGAAACTGTATAAGGTTTTCATAATAACAAGTATCCTTCAGTGATAGATAAATTTGAGTATATTGTGAAAAGTAAGAGTTTGGAAGTCTTCGGGAGACTCTGAGCGATGGGCACTCCTCTTCCTTCTGAGTGCACGACTGGCAGTTCCATTGGGTTACTAACGACTACAACTGATAAAAAATTTTCCGCTGTTATAAAATAAGAACCATTCTATCTACTTCTTATGTTTACTTCCTGTGTACCGATATGCTTTTTGCAAACTATGCCAAATTGCCTGGAGGTTATCATATATTTTTGAATCCTTGTGTCCTTACAACCAAGAAGAAGTTATCCTTGTCGAACTACAAAAATGAAAACTGTGGATTTTCTCTCCCATAAAGTTCAAGTTTTCTCTATTGAGTTTTGACTTCACTAAAAGAGCGAGTCCGATGTTTCAGAAAATCACTGGTATTGGAAAGAAAGAAACACCGAATAGCTTAATATACGAGATTCCGAGGTATATTGTTTCTTCAACTGTGAATGCTACATAAGCTTGTCCAGTTGGTACTACCTGTCTGATAAAGTGTCTTAAAAAGGTATCTGTTGTATATCTTGTCTGGAGGAAATGAACCACCAAACCAACAATAACTTGTTCAAAGCAACAGACGCGTAAAGCAGACAAGAAGGTAAAAGAACGTTCAAGTAAAAAACTAAGCGCCTTTCGTCAATTGAAAAGTCTTCAAGGCCTCCACTACACACACAAACCTAACTTCCCGTCCATCATCACTGGCGCCTTGCTCATTTTTTCTTCGGGATGACAAAGGCGAGTTCTTCAGCCAAAGTGAAGCAACTTATTCCCAAACATTCTGACGATAAGAATCGACAAAACAAGACAACTTCTAGCCAAGTGAGGTCACGTGCAACTGTTAATCGCTTGAAACTTTATCGGAAGAAGGCATATCAGTAAGGTCTATCAAACACTTGCATAGTCGATTTTCACCGATGTTTCCCGTTCCATAGATATGATAAAAAAGGCAGACGCATATCAGGAGCAGGCGATTACACCAGTAACATACCGGAGGTTTGTGTCGCAGGACTGTTGACCGTCTAAGTTTTTCTAACCTTCTCTCCTCCTTCACTTTAGCCTGGTGCAGGAAGAACGGCACCCAATCGACGGTGGTTTGGAAATACTAGAATTGTGGATCAACAACAACTAGAAAAGTTCCGAGAGAGTATTCAAAATGTTCGCCAAGACCCTTTCTCAGTTATCATAAAGCAAAAGAAACTTCCCTTGGGCCTTGTTGACTTTGACAACACTGCCTCGGAGAAAGATGGATCTCGCTTATCACTCCTCAGAATTGAACCCTTTGAAGAAGTTTTTTCAGAAAAAAAGTACGTTGTCATTCCCAGCGTTGTGTTATAGTTCACCGTGTTCTTGGAATAGATGGAGAAAGCGTCCGAGAATAGGGGACTTTTGTGATTTAAAAGAATATTCAGAAACTGCGAAGAAACTACGCGATAAATATGAAGCCAGCATAGGAGAGGAGGAACCTGTTCTTCATAGCATTGCAGAAAACAGCACAAATGGGAAAGAAGATAGTCAAGTCATCTTTGAAAGGAATCATGCTTTGGACAAAGGACAGAGCAAAAGAATATGGGGAGAGTTGTTCAAGGTCATTGATTCGAGTGACGTTCTTTTAGAAGTTTTGGATGCTCGAGATCCATTAGGCACACGGATTTCATACGTGGAAAAGTATATTCAACGTGAATGTCCACACAAACATGTTGTATTGTTACTGAACAAGTGTGATTTGATTCCTTCTTCTGTAACGAGGCATTGGATTCGTTATCTCTCGACGGAATATCCTACCGTCGCTTTTCGAGCAACTCTTCAAAAGTCGTTTGGCAAGTCCACGTTGATTGGTTTATTACGGCAATTTGCGAATTTACATTCCGACAAGAAGAGTATTTCCGTTGGAATTGTTGGTTATCCAAATGTTGGCAAAAGTTCTATTATCAATACACTCCGTGGAAAAAAGGTATTTTACGACATGATTACACAACATGTTTACAGATACAGCAATGTAGGTTGTAAACGTTGCGCCAGTTCCTGGAGAAACAAAGGTTTGGCAATATGTAACTTTGTTCCGTAGAGTTTATTTGATTGATTGTCCTGGCATTGTTCATGAAGCTTCTGCTCCCGATGACGCAGAATTGGTGTTACGGGTAGGTACTGAATCCTTTCTAGACGCTTAGAACCAATGCAATGTTATAGGGTGTTGTACGAACGGAATCTTTACGGGACGAAGCAGCAGATTATATCCCACTACTTTTAGAAAGGGTGAAGAAGCAACATTTAAAGAAGACATACGGCATTTTGGATTGGACCGATGCAAATGACTTTTTAGAACAAATGGCTAAGAAGACTGGCAAATTACGAAAAGGAGGAGAGCCGGACTTGAATACTAGTGCGAAGATGATCTTAAACGATTATCTTCGGGGTAAAATACCTTGGTTCATAGCACCTCCAGATTATTGCACCAACATGGAACAAGAAGATAGTACATCTAAGGGTAATTCAATAGACGACACTGAAGTGTCACTTTTGGAGGAAAAAGAAGAAGAGGCATCAAAAGATGTTGTTACCGATGTGAAGGAATCCACCCCTGAGGAAAACAGTAAGTACAAAGCATATTTGATTTGTGAGTTAATTCAGTATGTCTTAGATATAAGTTTGAATATGGAGGAATATTCGACCTGGGTCGAGTAAAGAATCTTATTATAATAATGACCATTATCCAATCTATTTTTGTACCACATTCCATGTTGTTCTTCGCTTTATATCTCTTGTCAATATTGCTGCTTTCCAATTCGGACTTATGCCATGCTCATGACTTATCAGTTCAATATGATCAACCAAAACCTGAACTATCACACAGTCATCTCCTTCAGGTCCTTGAGGATAAAAAAACTTCCAGGCCGGTTTCCAAAAGCGCTTTTTTATGTCAGGATCTTTGATAATTCTTGCAACTCCTTGAAGGACTACATAAGATATTTGACCCGGAAGATAGAAAGCTAAAGATACTCTGGGATTTCGTTCAATCTCTAATATCTGTGTAAATGGAAGTTAGCTTCTAGCCAAAAGCAATACTGGTGAATATTACCTTCCTTGTATTAGGATTGGAAGCAAAGAAAACTTGCTCCAAGCCTCGTTCGGGCTCTAGAGGATCCACAATTCTGGCGTTTACTACTTGACCATCTCCGTGAGTCATCAAAAAACAGGGTCCTGTTTCTACAACAATATAGTGTGCTACTGCCAAATACCAACTTGCTTCTGTTTTGTATTTCCAAGGATCAACTGACACTTTGAAAGAACGTTGAGAAAGCAAATAACCCACATAAAGGCAACATCCAGGTAAAACTACGATTAGAAACGTTCCACCAATCACATAATACTTTAGGTGCTGCTTCCAACTATCTTCTTTCACTGTATTCGTCGTAAAGTGCCTGTGCTGAGGCGATAACTGTCTTACACATTTGTCGCGTAAAGGACGGACAGCACTCATACTTTGGAAACATTGAGAAACTGAAAATAATAGACGACTTTTCAACAATCTTTGCATTTCAGTATTCAAAAATCTTCTGTTTTAGAGATAAACTTGAAGACATAGGAAGAGGCCGTCGTAGTTCGTTCAATAAACGGGCATCATCGATATTTGGCAAATGATACAACGGCTAGAATCATTAAGATATCAATAATATTGCTACACAGATATACTTCAGCCAATATATTGCATTGTTCTTAAGCTTTCTTTTCTAATAGAAAGAAATAGCGAAAGTCTTCCTTGCTAGAATGGAACGTTTAATGGATTATATACTTATGCATCTCACTTCATTATTTGTCTCTTTTGTTATTTGTTGTGGGAGCACAACTTTGATCTCCTCGTGTATTCCATGGCATTTGTTGTAACCCACTTTGCATCTCAAACTACTTTGAAAATTCGAGCCTTTACTAGTGTTGACAAGAAAAGTTTCTGTCAGTGTTATTCTCGTAAAAAACCACAGTCGTCGTTATCCTGTTCTCTTCGATCTTATTTGGGCTTGGAGCATTCTATAGCCACGATTGCTCAAGAGACGGTGACTTCAAGCAATCCCTTCGTGATTCAAAGAATTGCAGATTACTTTAAAACTCTAGGTATTCCAGAAAATGTAGAAAAGTATGGGCATCCTGTAATGATGGGTATTATGATCGCTTTTCTTGGAGGTGCCACTGCTTATTATGGATGGTATTTTAACTGTATTGAGTAGCTCTTTAACTTATTGTATATAGGATGGGTAGGTTGAATCCTGATAAGAAGAAAGGTGTTCAGCAGAAATCCTTTCACAGCAATCTTGCCACTGTCTTTTGGCTTTTGGCTTTTGCTGGGTAAGTATGAATCAAAAAATTATGTTTGCGATGCTCATGAGTAGCACAGTGCCTCAGGAGGTACTTTGAGTGTTGCTATGCAAGGATATCCCGTTTGGAAAAGTACTCATTCACTTTCTGCGGTTGCAGTTCTGTTAGGATTGACTGTCAATGCTTGGATTGCTTTCAGTGGTTTTGGGAGCACACCAACAAAGAGAATGAGCGGCAGAAAAGTACATGCATATTTAGGAACCGTTACTATGGTACTCTTGTTAGTGCACAGTATATTAGGTGTGTCCATATTACAGTCTAGCTAGCACAGTAAATATTTGTTGTTTACATTTGTCTCTCATAAAGCTTCCAACAATTTCAATAGTAAACCAACACCAAATCCAGTACCTCTATCCATATCACTCGCAGGACCTGCAATATCGAAATGAATCCATTTCTGAATATAGCTGGATGGAATGTGTTCCATAATAAAATGTGCAGCACNTGCAGAAGGACAGTTGTCCCGACGTAGAACAGAGTTCTATTCTATAAGTTAGAGCCGTTTCTATCTCTATATTCCGGAACAACAACCTCACCTTCATATCTGCAACATCTGAGAAAAGCATTTCACGCCAGAATTCTGGATAAAAGGGTAACGGATGGCACAATTCACCGCAAGCAATACCTGCTTTGATTGCCAACATTTCAAGCTCTTCTGAAGCAGTATAAAATGCTGCAATTTTGCGGCCCTAAAACATACAATGAAATAAAAAGAGAGCTGGAAAAAACAAATATCTGCTTACAGTTGCTATAGTATGAACAGCAGTTAAAGTAGCGAGATCGATAACAAAGTCGGGCAAAAAGTTCTTACAAGCAAAACAAATACCATCAGCCAATACCATTCGACCCTTTGGGAGCCTTTAGAAAATGCCAACACTAGAAACTTTCCATTACCTCCGCATCTGTATTGTTGATTTCTACTGTTCTTCCTGAATAAGCAACTTCAATATCATCTATTCTTGTGGCCTATACATAGTTACATTCTTGTCAATGCGCAACAATTGTTGAAAACATACCAAATGTGATATTTGATTTTCTGCTACACAAAACACAGCATAAATCCTCCAAGGAAAATGAGAACGAACTGCAGCTTGAAATGCTCCCAAAACTGCAGCAGCTCCACCTAAATCGCGTTTCATTCCTCTCAAGCTATCCGCTGATTTGAGGGCCGTTCCTCCACAGTCATATACAATTCCTTTCCCAACCCTATCAAACCAATCAAAATAAACAGAATCAAAGACTTAATGACATATTACCAACAAATGGTCTTCTCCGCATGTTCAGGAGTATAACTTAAAATAGTCAGATTGCTAGGATTGGCAGCCGCTTTCCCAACTCCATATAGCAAATGAAGTCCTTCCTTCTTCAATTCTTCTCCTCGTATACAACGCAAAGATACACCTGCTTCCTTCCCACCTAAACATAAGGCAAGTCTGCAACAATGCTCATAAAAGTTATCCGTATTCAATTCATTACAAGGAACATCCACCAAATATGCCGCGATACGAACACCATCCTATGAAAATGTGAACTTTCCAAAAACAATTCTCCATAGAAAACTTACAGCTGCCGCAGCAACATAATCCGTTTTGGTAAGTCCCACTATGTTACGAGTTGCATAGCCAAACATGACAGTAACTAGATTGGGACATCTTTCAAAGTACTGAGACTCCAATAAGCTCTTTTCTTCATATTATTTACCTCAAACTTGATGTCTTACGAGAATACATAGGAAATGCTCTTGCTATTGCTAGTCCTATAGGAAAACAATCTTCTGGACTCAACACACTGTTTCAAAATCGTCAATTATTCCACAGTATCAAACAGCTTTTCTTACATGGAGTGGATTTCCATTGAGCCTGTTACATGAGCCACTTTAGTAACAAGTTCTTTGACAAGATCCGGTCGACAAGGACAGTTTCTCTTACTCGACATACCACCATAGGTGCAAATTATCTTTTGAGATACACTCAGTTGAGAAATTTAACCTTCTTAGTCCATCCTTACTAATCTTCTTCTTCCACTTGTGTCCAACAAAGTCAATTGTTCGTTCTCTGTCAGTGCTTCTAATGCTGTATTTAGACCTGGAAACGAATCTCTGTTCTTCAAGAAAAACGACGATATTTTATAATATTCTTGAATGCACTGCTTCCTTCCTACAGACAATCGTTTCAATCGAAGCAACGAAATATGTTGTGGCAAAACTTACCGAAAACAACAACTGTATCAGAGCCAACGTCTTCATCGCCCTCTCGAAATATCAATTTCAGTCCACTTGTATTCTTAATCTTTAACAGCCATCCGATCATGAATGAAAATATTTGTGCTACAGCAAGTTGATCAAACTATACAACACAATCATCAGAGGCCCAATCACAATATTCTGCACAGTGAATTAATGCCCATGTCTCGTGCACTCAAAAGTCTCAATGAGGGAAGGATTGTCCTTTGGAAAGCTCTCTATTCTTCGAGCCATGGAAGCCATAACCTTTTTATTTTTTATATTTGACAAAGTTTTCGGATTGATGATTTCAAGTGTTCTTTGAAAGGCTATATAAGCCTATATCTATACGTATATGTGTACGTATATCATAATATTTATTTATTCTTCTCCTTTTTACTAGATTGCTCATTCATTTTCCATACACAACTGCTTCTTGGCCGAGGGGCGCAAGGCCAAACTAGAATAACATCCAGTTGGGTTCCAATAGCTTTGGTTGTTCTATGGTGAATTGAGTATATTTATAGTACTATGTCACATAACACAACAAGCTATGAGTTGTCCTCCAACGTGGATAATACTGCAGTGGAGGCACAAATGGACGTCCTGATAGAAGGAGTATGTGAACCTTCCAACTTGAAGACTTTGTTAACAAATAAAAAATATTAGGTTGTTAACGCTCTGACTGAAACAGATGAGAATCCAACAGAATTACAATTGCTTGCTTCACGTATTCACGGTTTAGCTGCCGTGTTGGAAGAATATGAAGAACGCTTTAGAGAAACTGCTACAGATGCCATAGACAACGAAAGAGATGACTTTCCCATCGGAGTTGCTTTAGGAACTCTTTTGGAATCAGAAGAAATTATATCCGCCGCCAGAAACTGGTTTTCAAGAGTTTCGCTTACTCTATCAACTCAGAACAACTTGTCTGCTAACTTCAAGAAACAAGTTTTTGGCGCGTGGTCAAGGCTACTCATTGCTTGTTTGGAAAGTGGTGAGGAAGAATTTGCAGATATGACTAGCGATGGTAAGTTTTCAGTTACTTGTATTGTGCTTACTGTTTTCATATGTCTGAATATAGAATCGGTTTTGAATGCCTTATTTGCTTGGTTCAACACTTCAGACAATAGTGACGAAGAAAGCTTAGCTCTGAGATCCTGGACAACTGGCCTTCTTGCATACATCTCGGAGATGATTCCTGAGGTTGCGGATTCCATTATACGAGAAGGTCTAGGAACCACTGCTGTTTCTAGATTGTTTGCTTTGGTGCTTGGACCTAATGTTGTTTACGAACTAGAAGGCACTCGAGTCAATGATAGTTCTGTTGTTATCCAGCCAGTTAATAGGAAATTGTATTTTGAGGAAGTTCGAAGAAAGAGTAGTTCAGCCAATCTCGATTATACAGAAATGGCTATTGCACGTGAACTTCAATTTCTCTTACATCTATTAGAGTCAATTGGAGACTATGAAGAAATTCTGCCATATATATTATCGGAATTTCGCGGTCTTCAATGTATCTTTACAATATTAACACATTGTGATCCTGCGATGAATATCCAGATTGTGGATGAAACGCTTCACATGGTTTCCTCATTATTAGCCCATAAAGCATTCGGAAAGCAGTTGGTAGAGAAGTGTGGTATCGATGTCTTGCTACGTGTTCCACCTCTTCCATATTTACAATATGGTTTGTCCATGTGCTTGTCACAACTTGCCCTTATTCCTCAGGTAAGATAGTGAACTCTCCATTGTATTAGTTTAACTAAAATGAACAGGTGCTTGAAACCATTTGTCGGCTTTCAGATGGCGTTGAGAAATGTACCAATCTCGTAAAATTGGGTTTGAGATTTATTGAAAGTCAGCAAAAGAGTGTTCGTAAGAATGCAGCTCAATTTATAGCCTCAGCTGTCCAACATCCTCGCTTTTATACTCGATTTAATAAGTTACATGGAACGCAAATACTTTTGGCAGCAATTCAATGGCATGAAGAAAATTCAGAAATGATTAACGAAGTTGATATACAAAACGAGTTGGTGGAATACACTTCAGAATATATTTTACATGCATTGAGACAATTGGTCCGATCCGAAATGACTCTCTTGGCTGAATATATCAAGTACGGTTCTTTCAAAGGGATGGATTTCTGTGTAGCTTTGGCATTGGACTCGGAAAGTCTTGCCACTGCGTTTGCTATCTTAAGGGCCTATTGTCTACAGAAGAAAAAGCTTCGTCTTTCTGAAATATTTACGCATCATTACTATGGAAAGACAATCGAGATAATTGTGGAACAAGATGGATTTGCTATCTTAACATCACGTATTTCGGCAGCTCTGAGATCACATTCATCGACAGTAACTCAATATGTCTTAGAAATTTTGGAAGTATTGACTGTTCCTCTTGTATATCATGAAAAGCTACTTTCTCTTCCCTCTACTTTTATGGTTGGTGATATGGATGCAGTAGATGACGAGTCTGCTTACTCTCCCGAAGACGGTGGTGCATTGGCATTGATTGTTAGAGCAGCAGGTCCTCGTTTTCATCGTGAATATCTTGTTGTTGCAGCTTCCTTGAGAGTTATCTGTAATCTTGTACATCCCAAGGGTTGGTGTCCTTCGTCTGAGTATTTTCTAAAATATGGCATTTCCAAAAGTACTATTGAAAATCTTACCGAAGATGACGGTTTGAATATGCAGAGAGAGGCAATAAGGAAATCTAATGGAATAAGAGTAAGTGCTTTGTTATTGTTTGTTAATTTGTGAATATATTATCCACATCAAAGGTATTACTGTGGAGACTTCGAGTCCGTGCAGCTCCAGACAAATCGGACATGATTCTCTTTCTAGTCGTACGTGCCTTACAGGGTTTGGCAAGACAGAGAATGATCTTACAAGTTTTGAACCAATTGCATGTTTCTGAAATACTGGCAGACATCGTTCGGCAGAGCACTGCTTCTGGAGGTGCAGGCTCCTTATTCCAAACAAAATTCAGAACCGAAGCATTGGACCTTAGTTCACGTGTGGCTGGTGGTGGTCTTTCCCTTGCACTTGCAGAAGCTTACGACCCAACACTTCGTAGTGTTGCCAGAGCAGCTGCAGTTTCATCAACTCCAGTTAGTTTTTCTGAACAAGAACTGCTACAACTCATTCATGACTTTTTGCGTTCTCGAAAACTTTTCCAAACTGCATCTTCTCTGATAGAAGAAGCAAATATACAACCTCTTCCTTCTATTACAGGAGGTTCTCCAAGGACTCCAAGACCTGTTAGTGTGTCTTACAACAACAAGTCTTTCAACACACCCAGTTTCAGGACTCCTACTCGTGAACGTCTTCTGGCAGAGATTCAGGAACAACAGTCTTCTAGAAATTCATTGGAAACCATCGTTAAGGGATATTTATTATCACAACATAGTAAATGTTTACATCCTGCATCTCTTTTACCACCGTTTTCGCTATTGAAGCCACATCGATGTCCAGTTCCTGAAATGGAAACGACCAGTGCTCCAAGAAACATTGTAAGATTAATGAAACAGCGAGAAGTTTTATCACATCAACGTCAATTTCGAGATGGAAGAATGAGAGGTGCAACTAGAAGAGCCAAGAGGTTTGTGTTTTCAAAGTTTCGATCAAGGAGAACCTATAAATTTGCATCTTCTCAAACACCTGTATTTCATCCTGCTGAAAAGAACATTTCATGCGTTTGCTTTTTGGATAAGGAGGATTGCTCTCCTTTGGATAATTTTGGTGGACTACTTGTTTGTTCACTCTCAGGGGCAGTTAGGCGTTATGGCATATATCCCATGTTACATTCAATAGGTGAGTAGAAGCTATGTCGTTGTTTCGAAATGGTAAATGACTGTTTTCTATAGATAATTACGAAGAGTGGAGACTGCTTCAAGATAATGATCTGTTTTTATGGAGCATTACACGTTCATTTGATAGCAAACAATTGCTTTTAGGTTGTAGTGATAGTCATCGAAAGCGACAGTTTGGTAACAGTGGAAAACTATGTTTATGGCAAACAGATAACTTGTCAGGAATGATGCCTAATCGGGAGTTTCAGCATGATGAGTATGCACCTCAATATGGGATCTTTTCAAAGAATTCGGAGAAGATACTAGCAGCAGGTCCACTTGGTTCTTTATTATATCATACAGAATCAGGAGAAGTATTGCACAAGTTTCGAAATCCGCCAGATATAGAGAGAACTGCAGCATTGAGGAATCGTCCTTGTTGGTCACCCAACGAGTCGTTGATACTTAGTGCAGGTGCATTATGGGATAGTAGACGGGCTAGAATGGTTCATCGTTTTGAAAGCTTGGGCACTGTAAGTAATGCATGTTTCCATCCTTCTGGACTGGAAGTCATCATCGGCTCTGAAATGTGGGATTTAAGAACCTTCAAGGTAATGTGCTATTGTCCAGTTGTGTTTTTTGTATCTCAGTAGTTTCATAGTTACTTCGATCTGTCCCAGCTCTCGGACTGGTGGACTTGCAGTTTACTTCATGTGGGGAGTTAGCGTTTGGTATTCCAACCAGATATTCCAATAGTATGCGCGACTTGTGTAATCGAGAAAATCTTCGCCCCACAGCTTTTACAGTGTTTGATGCTTGTGACTATAGTGAAATCTCTTCTGTTGATTTGGGTTGTAATGTTTGGGATTTGCAATTGGATAACTTTGATTCTTATGCAGCCGTTTGTGTCTCTGATTATCGTTTGGATGAAATGGAATCAGAGTCATTTGTGCGATTGTTTGAAATCGGTGCTGGTCGAAAGAGTGCATTTAGTCTTTATCTGAATGAGGAAGAGGAAGAAGAAGAAAAGGAAGAAGAAGCAAGTGAAATGGGCACTGATTATGATATGAGTAGTGACTCTAACGAAAGTAGCCTAATGAGTTATGAGGAAGATGATGAAGATGAGGATGAAGATGATGGAAGTTCGGGTGACGAGGAACAAGTCTTTGAGGTTCCTATGTTTGATTTAGTGGTTGATGATGAAATGATGGAAAGCGATTCTGATGATGATGATGACGACTTTTCGACAGACGAAACAAGACAGCATGAAAATGGCCAACGTTTTGGTTACTTTTACTAGGAAGCCATGACCTATTTCTTTGTTGAGTCCAATAAAGTCATACATAATACGCGGTCTTCATAATGTCCTTATAGTTTACTGAGAACAACCAAATATATTTATTCAGAAGATTCATCTTCCTTTTTCTCATCCAATCCTTTGGCTAAATGAATAGCTCTTGCTAGTTTCGTTGGAACTTGATGAATAGAAGCTGCCAATTGAGTGTGCACCGACTGAATGGCAAAAGCAATCTGCGCAATCAACTCCTTCTTGGAAGGTAACTGCAACACTCGTTTCAACTCATCTCCCGAAAAAACATAAGTGTCTATAACTCCATATCTAAAGGTAACTTCTTTCTTATTTTCTTGATTCGCGGTTTCAAACTGCTCTATAAAAGGCTTAAAATCCCCAGATAAAAACAACCAAGCGTTTGTTCCACTTAAATTGGATTGCAAAGCTTGAAAAGGAGTTCCCTCTATTGCTCTTTTCATCAAAGTATTTTTTACTACTTTTATCTTCGCCTCAGCAAGTTTACGCCTCAAGTCACTAAGTTCTTTATGCGTATACCCTTCCGTTGGAAACGAGATGATGACAGAAGAACGATTCAGCAATTCAGTCACTTCACTAACCAAGTTTTGTTTCTTCTCCAGCACTAGGGGGGAAAGCATTTTCCAAGTCTGACGACAGAAAGTAAACAGGTCTCTTATAAGAGTCTAGTTTCCTTACCTGCAAGGAGGAAGGACGACGTTTCAAAGCACATCTAGGATGAAGACAACCAATAAAGCTTTTCCTGTAAATATTCTCGCATCTTTCAAGCGTTCCTTTATTTAAGCTTGTTTCCAAACACAAAGGGGCGGTCGATACAAAACCCGATAACTTTAAACTGCCAGTTGCGGACGTCTTCATTGCAACTCAAAGGGCCAATATGAGAATGATTGATTCTAAAATCAATAAAATTTTAAAGTTTCCACTTGTGCACATTTTCGAATCTTGGTTAGAGCTCGTCTTTCTATTCTTCTAACTCCTTCTTCTGTCAATTGAAATATACAACCTATTTCATTTAAAGTCATAGGTTCGCCATCCTCCCAACCATATCGCAAGCAAAGAATATCTCGTTCCTTGGGCTCCAACACAGAGAAACATTGTTCCAAATCATCCCTAAGAAACGTCTCATACAGAGCACAAGTAGCTTGTTGACGACGACTATGTTTACGTGGAAGCGCTGACTTTTGTTCTTCCAAAGAATATGACGGAAGTTGTAACAGAGCTAGTCTACAATAATGAACAACCTTTCTATACGGTATTCCAGTTTGCTCGGATAAGCTTCTTATATTGGGAAACTGACCCAACTGATAGGATAGAAACCTTCTTTCTCGACGAATAGTTTTCAAAGCATCAGATATATGAACAGGTAACCGTACCAAGTGCTGATATTGATTCACAGCACGTTGTAGGGAATGCCTTATCCACCAAGAAGCATAAGTCGAAAAACGAAGGCCTCTACAAAGATCAAACTTCTCTACCGCTTTTAACAATCCTATAACACCTTCTTGTACTAAATCGTCAAAACTTAAGCCTTTTTGCAGAAAATTTCTACAAATGGCATTGATCAGTTGTAGATGAGAAGTTATTAGTTTATGTTTCGCTTGTCGTGCAAGTTTGTTCCACCTTCTCAACTCTAATTCGCTTATGTTGCATAAATATGACCACTCTTTAATTCCCATTTTACGATTCAGCAACGATTCTCTCTCCATCTTCTTCTCTTCCAGTTCACGATAGGTTTGTAAAATAGATAAACATTCTCTTTCTTCCTTATGATCAAGGCGATGATGCTTCGCTTTTCGATAAAGAAAAGGTTGAATTTGCTCTGTGACAGACCGTTGGAATGGGTTCGTTCGTCCAAGTCTCGGAGACGACTTGCGATTGGAAGTCTCATTCAATGTACTATCGTTTCTTTTCAGGTATTTTGGGTGGAACTTGAACGAATCAAAATATCCATCTTTGACTACTTCTTGAGTCTGACACGATGAAAGAATAGAAGATGTAACATTTCTTTCCAAACAGATGGAAACTTCCTTATTCAATAGGATCAAAACAACGACTAGAAACTGCAAGTAACGGTTGAATCGGAAGTTGTGCTGCTGGATCCAATTATTCTTATTCAACTCTATTCGCTGCAGCTGCCAATAAAACCCGTTTTTTCTTTTCAACTTGTTCCAAGAGAAAAATATATTGTAAAGCCACTGATAACTCCTTGTTTTCGGAGAATACTTGGCAAAGTTTCGACCATTCCACCAAAAAGTCGGATCCAACAAGGGTTTAGATTGTTCCTGAGGAAGAGACAAAATAAAAAGAGGAACGATTCTATTATTCCGTGACGTAGAAACAGTATGAGTCTCGTAGTGTGGTCTAGTCGAGTACAAGTGCGAATCTAGCAAGCTTTTTGAAAGTTTACAACGTGGCTCCATTTTTTAAAAAAGGATGACAACATCTAAACTTGATAGCTTGATTAGATTCTATGCGTTGATGTTGAGTTTTTTGGGAAACCGCAGAATTAGTCTACCGCCCAGCCATGTCGTGGAATTTTCAACAATCGGAATGAAAAAACGTTCATCGTCGGCAATCGACAAAAGAGGAAGGTTCAGTCAACCCCCAAAAAAAATGCTTTGCAGAAATGGCGCCAAGTTGTTCATTTTTGATTCATATTGTGCAATATTGAAGAACAGAGTTTCCATTTTCGAATGCAGCGGTAAAAACTGAACTGTATTATATATCATGACATAGTACGATGAGAGTAGCTCTATATCATACATTCAAAGTAATTTCCAAAGGATAGGAGAATATTCAATTTTTTGGACAAACTATAGGTTAACTGCATCCTCCTATTTTGACTACCAATAATATAAGAGCAAGCAAGGCACAGAAACATGAAGTTGGATGAATTATGCACCTAAACCCCCAAGCAACAGGTATTCTTGCAGAATTTTAAAAATATTCAAGCAATATAGAAGAGGCATAATGAGATGAGCAGTTGTACTCTTTTACGTTGTCTAAAGACTTAACAAGCCCTTTCATTTTGGATTAGAAGGAAATGGTGAAGGAGAATGATTCTCAACCTTCTTTGCTATTCATATGTGGTCTCACACGAGTTCCACTTTGCACCAAAGCAGTATATAAACGATACGGTTTGCATTCATTTCGATTTTTAAAGTATTCTCGTCGTTGCCTAGTCAACTGCAGCTTAACCCATCGACAGCTGTTTTCTGTGGCTCCTATGATGGACGTTACAGACAAGCACTTTAGAAATCTTGCCAGAATGATTTCTAAGCATGCAGTTCTTTATACAGAAATGATAGTGGACAACGTTATCATTCATAGCGACGGAGAAAAGCGCAGAAGAATACTCGATTTTGACAGTGCTCAGAGACCTCTATGTTTGCAAATAGGCGGTTCCGACCCAAGTAAAGTGTCAAAAGCTGTACATATTGCGCACAAATATTTCCGTTATGATGACTACAACTTGAACTGCGGTTGTCCCTCGGATAAAGTTAGTTCTCAAGGTTGTTTTGGTGCTATTTTAATGAAGCAGCCAGAGAAAGTTGCTAGAATTACTTCTCGAGTAGCAGAAACAGTTGGAAAACCAATGACAGTAAAATGCCGTATTGGGGTTGATCATCACGACTCTTATGAATTCTTATCCAATTTTATACATGTTGTATCTACTTCAGGTCATGTGAATCACTTTATTATCCATGCCCGAAGTGCTTGGCTGTCTGGACTGTCACCCAAAGAAAATCGTTCAAAACCTCCAATCAAATATGAATATGTTTACCGACTGACAAAGGATTTTCCTCACTTAAAGTTTACGTTGAATGGGCAAGTTTCCACTTTGAGCGATGTCGTCATGCATCTTTCGAAAGGCGTGGAAGGAGTAATGTTAGGAAGGGCTGTAATGGAAAGACCTTGGAATAGTCTAAGACTTGTAGACTGCATAATCTATAATGATTTTAGTACGCTGATTCGTAGAAAGTATGTCGTACAAAAATATCTTGAGCATATTGCACAGTATGAAGGTCATGCTTCTCGCTATCTTTTAGTGAAACCTGTTCTTCAGTTATTTGCTGGAGAAATGAATTGTCGTATCTTTAGAGCCAGATGCGGAGAGTGTCTGCAACAGGGTCATTCTGCTTCTGATTCCATTCGATATGCATTGAATATATTACCACAATCAGTTTTAGAGCAAGAAAGCTGGAATTCAGAAGAATTGCTTGCCTTCAAAGACATTCAGGAGAGAGTTACAGTGGCTAATTGATGTCTCAATTTTATTCAGACAGTGTCCAACGGACAATCGTTAACCGGAATTGTTTGCTTTCGATATGGCACATGAAAGAACCGCTTTATCCAGTTCCAATAACACTGCCTTTGAAAAGATAATTAGAAGACATATTGTAGATCAAAGTGACGGAGAGTTGCAAGAAGGAGACTGCAAGTGGATTCTCGTGGACCATGTCACTGTTCCTTGGAATATGGCCACGCTTTTGACCGACCTTCTGCCTACTGTCGAAAAGGAATTTATTTCAGCTTTACAGCAGTGGCGCATAGATAATTACAGCCAGGAAGAAAGGTGGAACCATCAATTATCACGTCGTGGAACCGTTCGGGAACAGACGTCTTGGCAAGTGAGTGGTTTGCCGCTCGCAGGTTCTGTACTTATAGGACTCGAACCCAGTTGTATTGTAAGTATGAACATATATTGTTGTTTATTGATTTTGTATACTACAATCTGTTAGAAATGGGGAGCTTTAGGTTGTGTAAGTTTTCCCGCAGTGCAGTGCGATTTTCCAGACATACTGTCAAAGTCTCAAGTTTGGTTGAATATTCCTCCCGTTATCAAAATAGGCATCTCAGAAAGAGTTGCTTCTGTTATTGGCAGCAATAATATAATTCAGTCTGTGCATACTATCCTTGAAAGAGTTGGTGTTACAGGACCCATTGCAATCGAGTTTACTGGAAAAGGTTGTTTCTATCTTTCTATTGAAGAACGAATGAAAATTATAGACTCTGTTAATAATTGCAATGTGATTTGTTGTCTGTTTCCACCTGATGAGAAGACAAAACGACATCTGTACAGCAAGCTTGAGAACTTGCAACAAGTCTTGGTAAGCGTACAATCTAAGGTACCAGTTTATTTTTATGATCTTCTGCGTCAACAAATGGATTCATTAGAACAAGTTTTTCATATGGAGAGAAATGAAGGAAACTACAGTGCTTATGTAATCTGGATTGATGAAATAATACAAGATGAGTACAAGAAGCATATTGGATGGGAAAGGGATCTCTTTTGTATCTACCAAACATGTCCAATTGATTTATCTTCCCAGTCGATAAATAGAAATGAGACTTTACCTCCAATATTGGGTGGTTTTGTTTTGTTCTGTCCTACCAACTCCATCGATGCGACGCTTATTTTGCCCAAAAGTGAAAGTACATTCAACTCTCGTATAATGAATGCCTTTGATCCATCGTTTGAACAAAAGCTTATTCCATGTACACAGCCCATTGTCTTGGTAGTTGGATTTGATTTTGGAAAGAATGGTTGGCATTTGTCGGGTCTTGCCAAGTGTTTGTGGGATCTTGGTATTCATATAATCATAGGTGGTACATTTGATTACGCCTTTTATCGTAATGCAGTTAATCAAGGAATATTAGTTTTGCAGTCACCTGAGTTTGTCAAGTTTCTTCAACATTGCGAGTGGAATGTTGAGGAGCGTTCTCTGTCTTTTCAAGCCGACTCTGGAGTATATTCTGAAACTACTTGCCTTTATCTTTCGGAAGCGTTGCCAACCAAATGTCAAGTGAAGTTGCAACTGGATCAATGGAAACTTTGGTTTCCTGTTCATCACGGGAATGTGGAAGTGCGCAGCTTTCCTATAGAACCATCATCCAAAATAATCCAAGAGAAATGTATATTCTCCACGACACTGACATGACGATCGAATGGTTTTTCTATGTTCGAAGATTTAGCCAAAAGAAGTTTCTAAACGAGTGTCCAATCCGTATAGTTTGTAAAATTGTAGGAATTTATTAGGAAACATTACATTCTTTGCGGTAAAGTTGCCCATGAAAGTAGCAAAAAACAGAATAAGCATAGAGAATACCTCCTACCCAGTCAACCATATAGTGATGTTCCAAATACAGAGCGGCCCATCCGACCCAAGTAACATATAGCCAAGGAACTATACCTCCCAATATTCTTGGAAGGGGTTCATACAGAGCAATGAGACTTGGCCAAGCGACGTGTAAGGATGGAAAGCTTCCAAACACTACCTTGTTTCTTTTATACAGACTCTCAAATAAGGGGAAACCCAACGCTTTGTCAATTCGGACTAGGCCAGCAGCTGAACCTGGAACATGATAATGAGCCTCCAACTGACCGTATTCCTTGATATACCAAGGTGCTGCCGTTGGAAGAAAGAAATGGGATACTACAGCCAATATATTCAACCAACCAAATGTCCAACAGAAATGAGCTGCATGGGTCCAGGAACGAAAGCAACAAAGGTAGAAAAACATTGCCCACGGCAAAAAGGCATGTAAACTATAAGCTATACAAGCAAATATATCCTTTGCTAGGTTTGTCTGTTTGGACAATGCCTCATGTGGAAGATAAGATATGTTGCGCTTTCCACCAAGTAGCATTTCTTCAATATTGGATAGTAGTCTAACGTGGATACGAGGTCGATACTCGGATGGAATAGCTGCGGAGATTTCGTAAACAATAAGCCACAAGAAAATAGGCATTACTCCTAAAAACAATTGCCTCACTACTGTATGATCTAAAGAATTCCAAAAATTTCGTAGAAACTCGTTCACATTACTTTTTTGGCGCCTAGTGCATTTTCTGTAGTCTTTGTTGGGGGAATGGCTTGTTAATAGGGATTGGCGTTTGGCTTGTAATGTTTTCGCGTTCATCATATCACCGAGGATCCACAAGTTGTGTGAGTAGGAAGAAGCCTTGTATTGACGGCTATTGCCTAGTTGACATACTTCAAGGAAACTTTGAGTGTCGGCAACTCAGTAGTTCAAAAATTTGTTATTTCTAACAATCTTTTTTTTTTTCAAATACTAATGAGGTTGATGGGCATTTTTCTCTTGAACAATTGGGAAAGAAATCCACATCATCTCTATTTGATCGATTTGCTTAGGCGGCATCATCGAGATAAGATGCCAAAGCAACTAGAGAGAATATTCGACAACTATGTGCTTTACTTATCACGTCACATGATGTACTACAAATCCTACTACCTTTAGACTGCCGCCTAGGAAACAAATCAAATTTCCGAACTTGGTTGATAGGCCTTCAGGAACTAGTCCTTCCTCCAAGGAGGTCTGACTTGGGAGGATTCATTCGAAGCCTACAAATTCTCAAAGTTCTTCCCTCAAATAGTCTACCTCAAGTTAACAAGAGAAACTCATAAAAAACAATTCAATGACGTACTTTCCATCCATAGAAAGTGCTTTGTCAGCTGCCTCAATTCGCGTAAAACCTACGGTAGCAAAACACCTAAGAACACCGTTGGCATTGTGTTCTTCAGATAAGCTAAACTGTTGCAGTTCTCCGAATTCACCCATCACCTATTACCACAAGAATCATTTAGCACCCTCCTCTATACAAATACCATTCAGCCACTTACTTTTACTAGCTTCTCTTCTTGCAAATCCTTTGGGACATTAAATATGCGTACGCAGTAAGGATGGACGACTGTTCGATCGAAACTTCCTACGGGAGTATGAAAGGCCCTTTCTGCGACACCTCTGTCCTTCACACTGGCACGAGTCTCCAATTGATGTCCGGTTTCCGTTCTTATTCCTGAAGAATTTGCAACTGTTTCCTCTTCGTATTGACAAAGTCTCCAAGCTGACAACTGTAAATTTCTTGAAGGAGAGAAGCGTCCTATTAGTTTATTCAACGCTATGGAATGTAATGTCGACGACTTGTAACTCAACCACATTGCAAATGGGCCTTTTCAAGAAATGTCCGACGAGTCTTTTTATACTTTATCCATCAAAAATACATATATACAGTGTTGCCATATCATTATTCTTATATTATTGCTTTTCAGAATCACTAATCGTCCAGTTCTTTTGGACCTTTCCTTTGTTCTCTTTGTTGCTTATATTGAGCATGGTCGGGAACATGAAAAGCTATAAAATGAGAACTAGTCTTCGCCAGTGATTTCGCTCGTTTTTGGTTGTCTTCCATTTCATCTTCAGTATTATCGCTTTCATCTTCAAGTCTTCTTAATCCAGCAACATGACGTCTTTTAGGATGATATCCATCACTATTACTTGAACTGTCTCCTTCGTCTTCAAATGGGCTCTCACTTGATAGACTTGACTTTTTTCTACCTTTAACAGCACTCTTTCCATCATTTACTTGTTCTTTCCATGCTCGTTCCTTATCTTCCCATAAGAACAAGTTGTAACTCGTTCCTGAAATAATTTTATCCAAAGTAGGATGAAACTTGTTCAAAGGACTTATGGTAGGAATATTCAAATCAACCAACTCTGCTACTATATGTCCAGAACACGCTGAATATAAATCAATTGGATGTAAACGGATCATAGATTCCGTTTTAGGATCGTAATATTCCTCTCCTATATATCTGCCACATAAAATGAGATCTTCTTTCCAATCCTAATCAATTCAATCGACTATAAACAAGTTTTGGAAGCGATGTGCTTACTTTGGGATCCCATACCGCTTTGAATGGGCTCAAATATCGATTGAAATCGTGAGAATGAATAATCTCCCGCGATACTTTCAAGTCTTGTTGAATGTTATCCCATATTCTCAATCGATTGTCTTGACAAGTGGATAATATTTTAGTACCATAAACCGGGGAAAAGAAGGCAGCATTTACTACTCGAGGATGTTCAAATTTTGCCAACTGAAGATTACTAGTAAACATTCTTGCATCCCATAGATACAGAAATCGATCGTTACCACAAGTTGAGATCAAATTGGGTTCTCTGGGATGAATATCGATACCGGTAACTTTTGTTTTCTTTTTATGTGCCAATATTCGAATGGACGAAGCACTCTGAGGTATTCGGTCGTCTATTATATATACATTGCCAAAGTTATCTCCAGCTATAGTCGTATGATGATAGGAATTGTAGGCTATTGAACATAACATAGACCAAGTACTAGGTCCCTCCCATCCATTAGGATTGCTATCCAATAAAGTGTCGAATTGAAAAGTTTTCAAGTCGTGCCCTAATAGTGTGCCATCTGCTGAAGCTGTAAATATTCTATTTCCATTGTTGGGGTCAAATACGATGCCATGAATCTAGCCAACACATAAACAAAGCTTCTCAAAAGAGCAACTCGATCGCCTACCAAATACATATGTGCCATAGAATTCACGTGATATTGATTATTTTCAAAATTCCAAATAGCTAAAATTCCTCGCTTATCTCCTGACAATACCCACTCAGGTTGTTGGGGATGGAACTCCAGTGCAGTCACTCTACGCAAGTGAAGTCTCAAAATGGCTCTTCCTACTTGAAGTGAAACTTGTTTTGTTTTCAAGTTGGGATATTTGTTTCTCCCGTATGTAGTGGGTGTGGACTCTCTCCATCGAATATGTCCCAATATGTGGCTGTCTGGAGATGAAAAGAGTCTTTTGGAAGAAAGTAAAGGTTCTCCTGGAATAGTTCTATAAGGACAGAGAGTTGCTGTATGACCTTCCTTTCTACAAATAAAACAAGGCTTTTTTGGACAGTCTATTGACCAGTGTCCCGGTAAACGACAAAGCCGACAAGAACTGTTGGCCAAACGAACCAACAGTCTATTTCGATATTCTTGTGGATCAGCTACAACTGGTTTTCCACTGTTGGTCGAAACAGCACAGTTGTCTTGTTCCAGCCACTCATCCATTCAGAAAAAAAGATAAATGCAGGAATAAAATGATTTTGTTTTCTTCTTCTCCTTGTAAAGCTTTATGAACTCCTACAGTACACTAGAGTCTCAAGATATCCAAGTGGTTCCTTTTATAGATATTCATGAACTTTTTATGGCTTTTAACCGACTTTATTTTGAAGGAAAATTGGATAGAGTTACTATAGAGTGGTCGAAAAGGATGACACTGTAAGGTGTCTTTTCCTATTATTTTCCTTTCCCAACTCACACACTTTAGGTGTGCTGGATTATGTGAATGTTGTGTTTTCAGTAACTCTTGTCGTATTAAACTATCACAACCGTTGCTTTCCTTGAGACCAGTAACTGACTTGGTGGATACGTAAGATTTTCATCGCTTGCCTACACAAGTATTGATTGGCTATATTATGGTCAGGATATTACACGAGTGTATTCATGCCTATCTATTTATGACAGGCTCCATAACTGATCACGATGCTCATGGAAGGGATTTCATCTACCACATGAACAGAATCAACCAAGGTATGTTAAGATATTATATGCCATAGCAACTTGTTTAAAAAATATCACTAAAAGATGTTGGTTCTCATATTACCATTTATCATTCCTTTATTGATGAGGTTGAACACTATCGGCAACATCATTGGCGTTGTACTCAATGTGATTGGGTTATCAAGCGAGCTATGAATAGACCTCCTAGTTGTAAAGATCCTTGGTGGAATGTACACCAGCTTAGATGTAATGGACAGTTTTATAAAGTGAAACAACCATCTAAGCGAACAGCATCCTCACAGATGTTACCTTTGGAAACTTACTTTTCAAAGTACAAATAAAGAATAGACATTGAATTTTATTCTATTGGTACGATGTTCTTATCTATGGGAATGGAGCTTCAATGGAAATGGACTATAATAGTTGTATGAGCCAAATCGTCGCCGGCCATTCCTCGTTTGGTCAACTCGGTTGGTGGGTGGTGAGTTGAACGACTGTCAACAAACATTTGAGACTGTCTGAATATGTGGCGAGCTTTGGGAAATAAACTCGCCTCCAAGTTAGCACAACTTCCACAGGCAACAGCAACCCAGGATATTGCTGCACTACGCCCTACCTCTCGGCTGCTAACGTCGAAACGATTGGCTAGGTGAGTTTCGTGTTTTCAACACAACAAACTCTTCATTCTCAACCAGATTCATCGATATAGTGGGGTGAGTGGAGATGTTATTGGCATCGATTTGGGCACAACCAATTCTTGTGTGGCTATTATGGAAGGGAAGAATCCACGAGTTATTGAAAACTCAGAAGGTTCTCGAACGACACCTTCTGTAGTAGCTTTTACCTCGGAAGGTGAAAGACTGGTTGGAACACCTGCAAAACGTCAAGCTATAACCAACCCAGAAAATACTTTTTTTGCCACAAAGAGACTCATAGGAAGAAGATTTGATGATTCTGAAGTACAAAGAGACGTGAAGACCATGCCTTACAAGATAGTAAGAGCAGATAACGGTGACGCTTGGGTGGAAGCTCAAGGAAAGAAATACTCACCCAGTCAAATTGGAGCCTTCGTTTTGCAGAAAATGAAAGAAACAGCAGAGTCCTTTTTAGGAAGAAATGTAACCAATGCCGTAGTTACAGTACCGGCATACTTTAACGACTCACAGAGGCAGGCTACAAAGGTGGGTTCTTTGTCTTTGTTGTTTCTTGTAACGATTTATCTAACTTTTACAAGGACGCTGGTCGAATTGCTGGTCTTAACGTGCTTAGAATAATTAATGAGCCTACAGCAGCTGCACTAGCATATGGTTTGGATAGAGCAGAAGGAAAAGTGATTGCAGTATATGACTTGGGAGGAGGTACTTTCGATGTATCTATTCTGGAAATCTCAAGCGGAGTATTCGAAGTGAAGGCCACCAATGGCGATACTCATCTAGGTGGTGAAGACTTTGATTACACTTTATTAAACTATTTGATAGCAGAGTTTAAGAGAGAACAAGTACGCATCCCAATTGTGTAGCCCAATAGCAATATACTAACAACTCTCTTTAGGGAATTGACTTGTCCAAGGATAGATTAGCCTTGCAGAGATTAAGAGAAGCTGCTGAAAAGGCCAAAATTGAGCTTTCTTCAACCATGCAGACGGATATCAATCTGCCTTTTATTACTGCAGATGCTAGTGGTCCAAAACATATGAATATGAAACTGACAAGAGCCAAGTTTGAGTCCCTTGTGGAGCCTTTGATCAACCGAACGTTGGATCCTATGAAAAACTGTCTGAAAGATGCCGGACTTAGTGCAAAAGATATTGCTGATGTCATTCTCGTTGGTGGAATGACTCGAGTACCTCGCGTACAACGTACTGTCTCAGAATTCTTTGGTAAAGAACCAAGCAAAGGTGTCAATCCAGATGAAGTAGTTGCTATGGGAGCAGCTATTCAAGGAGGTGTATTACGTGGAGATGTGAAGGATATATTATTATTGGATGTTACTCCTCTTTCTCTAGGCATTGAAACTCTTGGAGGAGTTTTCACTCGATTGATTCCCAGAAATACCACTATTCCCACCAAAAAGTCACAAGTTTTCTCCACAGCTGCAGATAATCAAACGCAAGTTGGAATCAAAGTTCTCCAAGGTGAACGAGAAATGGCAGCAGATAATAAGTTACTGGGTCAATTTGACTTGGTTGGTATACCCCCTGCGCCTAGAGGAATTCCTCAAATTGAGGTTACTTTTGATATCGATGCGAATGGTATTCTTCATGTATCTGCAAAGGACAAAGCAACTGGAAAGGAGCAGAGTATTGTTATCCAAAGCAGTGGAGGTTTATCAGAAGGTGACATTCAAAACATGATTCGCAGTGCAGAAGAACATGCACAAGCTGATAAACAACGTCGAGAACTAATCGAAGCAAAGAACAATGCAGATAGTTTGTTGTATTCGACAGAGAAGACTTTGAATGAACATCGTTCCAAATTATCTTCTGCAGAAATTACTCAAGTAGAAACAGCTATTCAGAATTTGAGAAGCAGTAGTCAGGGCGAAAATTTGGAAGAAATCAAGCGCCATTTAGAAGAACTTCAACAAGCAGCTATGAAAATTGGCGAAGCAATGTATCGTTCATCCAGTTCGAGTAGCAGCAGCAATGCCAGTAGCAGTAGTGGAACAGAACAAGGTGGATCGAGCTCAAGTTCATCTTCCAGTACAATGGATGCGGAATATCGAGATGTAAAAGACGATGATAAGAATAATAAGAAAGCTGGAGGTGCTTAAGTGACTGACTATCAGTTGCTTTGGGTCATTTGTCGTTTTGTTTGTCTTAGCGCCTCTATTTGCCTAGTATAAAAAAGGTCTAAGGATTGGTAGAATAGATGTTTGTTTATTCGAAAAGCACTTTAATGGCTTCTCTATGGACACTGATAGGTTGTTGTAATAGCGATGCGTACTCACCAAGTAATAGTTCTACAAAAGTCAACACCGCTGAAAAGGACAAATATTGGGATGCCCATTGATTGGCTTGTTGCATGATTTGTTTCACTTGAGCATCATGAGCCTTGTAATAACACACTATTCATATCATTGCGTTGTATATAGAGTTCCACTTACTTGTGCCCATTCTATTTTCTCAATCAAGTCATTGAAGAAGTAATCTGTAGGAATGTAATGAGTCATTGGTTGTAAGAGAGGTTCAAAGTAGAGTCCACAAGGAGTGTCTTGCTTAATAGTAACAAATGATGCAAACAATTGCTTTGCCAGTCGATCTGCCCAAAAACAGTTGCCTTCTGCATAGATATTGTATTTGAAGTGTTGCTTCAAGTTTGCGTCATCGAATGCTACTAAAATTCTAGTCATGCTACTTACTTGCTGTTCAAATGACAGCCTCTTTAAAATATAGGATTTCAAGCAGCGTCCACTAACAGAAATATTGAATAAGTCTTGTCTTTTCTCTTGCAATTGAATCAATTTTCCTCTTCCAGCATCCATACATTTTCTTCAAGTATTTAAATGTGAAGCTATACAAACAGTTTAACAACACAAACCTTTGAGCTTCTTCTCTCGACTCGAAATAGGAACTATCACGAATACCACCTCGGAATACTGCTTTATCAGTCTTCTGGGTCCAAGGAATGGAGTACTTTTAGAAATATTGAGAGACCATTGCTAAATAAAGTTCTCAATCTTTACTTGCCTTTCTCATTTCTTCTACACTCATGTCCCAAGATTTCCAATCCCCTCGATGAGAAGATCCCTCCAGCATTGGAAACGGCAAGTTATCCGAAAAGTTACAATGAATCAACGTAAAAATAGGACGACCTTCACATGCTGTTAGCAACTTTCAATAAGTGGATATTTGTTCAAATACTTTCGATATGTTTAGCAACTCTGTAATGATGAGGTTTGGATACTGTCTGAACGCAGTCATGTAAAGATAACTATAAGAAACCAAAAAATATTAGACTTTCGATAAGGAAACGAACATTGACATACCACAAATTCAACATTAGGAAGAGACTTTTTTTCTACAAGCTTCTGTATCAAAACAAGAGCTTGCTCCAATCGATTCTTATACAGATCCTTTCCCGAAATAGTAATTTGGTAAGGATCCAAGACGTAAATTTCTTCACTTTGTCAATTACTCTTTGTCAGAAAAAGCAAGTATGCACCTTACCATGATCCACGATTTGTATTAAGACACAAGAAACGCCCTTGTTTGCTCCTTTTGGTGTAACTGCATAAGTACTAAAACTCTTAATTCATGTCAAGTTTAATAGCAAGGCCACATACTTTCTCTGGAGGACTTCCATATATTGTTCTTTAGAGATACCGCCTAGAAATGGCTCCTATATGTAAAAGCACTTACATGTTTTATCGTAAAAAAACAAAAAAGAATCTTACCAAATATCTATCCACGAGCGACTTGAGTGACTTGATTACTGTCCTAGGGACTGGAGAAACTGGGATATGAGTTTTAGGAATTTTTAGTCCATTCTTCGAATTCCTTGGTTCTGAGGATGAAGATTTCTTGTGCTGACTAACAGGTACAGCCTTGTCTTGCATGAGTTTGTTCTTCTGCTCCGTTGGTATTTTAGAATTCATTTGGTTGTTTGGCCTAGTCTCTTTGAAAGATTCTGCATCATGCTTCTGTGTATTGTCTAATGATGGGTTTTCCATCTCATCAGTAACTGAATGCGGCAAATGATAAAATTTTTTCACCAAGTCTTCATTCACTTCCTTCCCTTGAGCCCGAAGCTGCAAAAGCTGGTTATTGATATATGGAAGATGCCATTCCGGTACAGCGAATGGTTCCTTGCTTTCCCATTCTTTCTTTGGTACTTCTCTGTGCTTTGTTTTGTCTACAGCAGGCATTATTTTCCCTAAATAGGATACATACCAACAAAAAACGAACAGTACAAATAGCTAACAGTAGACTATTAATTTTTGCCAATCTTTCAAAACTATACATACAAAACCCCAAATCTTTCTACCAAAATACCACATTCTTTTCAAAGTTTTAGAAAAGTTATGTCTCCTAGTGGTCAACCAGATATAGTGTTCTTTACCCATCGCGGAAGTTGCACTGTTTACCCTTTCTTCCCATAGCACATGTACGCCACTCAATCCTTTAAAGTAATCCACAATATCTAAATAATAACTCCAAACAAGATAGGATATGCTGAAGGCTTTGTTCCTTTGAAATCTTTGAACACGTCTAGAAGAGAGACGTGATGTCCACATCAATCATGTCCAATTTTTCAAATTTCCCAGAAAAAGAAAACGAGGGCCATTCCCGTTTCTTGTGTCGAATGATTGTAAGCATGTCAGCTGAAAGGAATTGTCCTCACATGAGATTACAAACTTTTTTTCCAATCTAGAGATATATAAAAATGGATTTTAGTATTTTCTTTAACAACAGTGAATATCTGTTACAGACTCATTCTGCACATATGGTTGTGCCCAATAAGATGATCCATCCATCTTGACATTCCTTCATTTTTGATTTTCCCACAATTTGAGATTCTCATGCAGTCTCCAAATGGACACCTCAAAATACGTTCTCCTAAAATACAAGGGCGCTCGCCTCCTTCTCCTACTAAAAGACTATATAATAGACACAGTGGTGAGTTGTAGAGTTCTATCATCATTGCTTTTATAACTAACTACTCTAGCGGTTGGAAGAGGGCTTCCAAAAAAAGGTGGTGCAGGTGGTAAGTTTCTGGTTGGTAGTTCTTGGATGGGAACTCATTTTTGCCTTTTGTAAGGTAAAGGAGTATGGGGTTCCATGTGGGTTCAAGATGGAAAAAGTTTTCTAGATAAAAACGACCCAAACTATGATTCTGACCAGGACCCTTCTGTTCTCTTGGAGGAAATCGACTTATCCTATGTCGATAAGGAGCTGACCCAAGAAACCTTTGAGGCTACCAAGGACTTGGATGAGTCTGAAGAATCACAGAAGAACAGAGTATGATGATAACTTTTTCAGCTGATATATTATTATTTGTTAGCTCAAGTCGTCAGTTCGGGCATTGTTGTTGTTTCAAATTGCGTCAGTCCGTTGTTCAATAAAATCTATTACAAGTCCAGAGCACAATATGATTTTGAAAATACTTGATATGTATTTATACATGATTCATTTCCAGTGCTTTTCCAAAACATGTCTATTTTGATTAGGGTATTGGTGATGCAGCTGTTGAAC